TTTTACTCTCGATGCAATGAGGCGTTTACCGAGTCAATGTTATGCGGAAGGTTACCTTGAACAGCGATTTTATTTAGCGCGTTTTATTTGAACGTGTGAGAAGACGTTTCAACTGGTGTTATATGTATAATGCCAGGTCTATAACAGCTATGGAGCTGCTTTGAGTGTTGTAAGCAATGATGTTTAATAAAACTGATGACGCATGTCCATACTGCGCGTCGTTTAAAAACTGTTCCGCTTTACATTATATGATATGCAGGTCAACGTGACAGATGAGATAGATCGTATGATACGGAAAGAGACGACAGGTTATAGAACTGCAATCTTATTACACTAATTGGTGTAACTTGAGTGCCTCAGTTTGTTTGCGGTAGTTTTATATCTACCTCGTATTTATCATTGATTATAACCTATAAAAAAGTAAACCCGATTACATCTTACCAAAAAATGCAAAGGTACAATTTCTACTGTAAAGGCCGGTTTCTTTTGAACGTAAATATTATGGAGTTATATCCATAATTTATTTTATACTTTGTCAAATACCTATCTCTAGTAACCAAATCTATATTCTGTAGATGCAATATTCAAGCAGGCCGTGCTTCGACGAATGGCCGTGCCGGGTAGTACAGCAACACAACTGGCTGGCTTTGTCTTGATCAAGTTTTGATTTTACTCATGTTTATCTATTGCCTATTTATCATTATTATTATGGCTTTGGTAGTCTTTTAAGTTAAAGCAAAAAATTCCCATTATTAAAAAAGTAAAGTAACAGTCTATAGTATATGTCCCACTGATGGGCAAAGGCCTCGTCTGTATAGAGGATGTTGGGGCATAGTTTACCAGGCGCCTACTGCGGCTTGGTATCTAATATATCGTCAATATTTTTTTTGTTATTTTTTCGAAAATATTCATGTTTCCTCACGATGTTTTCTTTCACAGCTGAGCACGTGATAAGTCAGCACTTAAAATTACCAATTTCATTGATGCCGGCACTGGGGATCGGACTCGGATTGCTCGAGTATATAGAATTAAAAGCGAGCACCTGGACAATGAGCTATCCTATCACGGCTTACCATTATTAATGTATATTTAATCTTTATGATAAAGCTATGAAAAAACAATGCCATATTGTTTCAGCACAACACTTTTCTTCCATAGAGCAAAGAATTGTTATTAAGAACTTCAACACGCAATGCTTACGTAAAGTGATCGTTTTCACTTTAATTTTATGGAATATCGAGAGGTAACAATGATATTCAAATACGACTAGGTTCGTGGCCGCGAATATTTTAAGGCCTTGTTGCGAAATTCGTTTTGTGAACGGCGAAATTATACGAGTGAATTAGGGTAGCCTCAAATACGATAGGATGAAAAGTCGTACAAATTCAACAAATGATTATGATGCAAAAATATATTTCAACCCACAAAAGATAGACAGAATAAACTTACGTTGACGTTTCACTGACATTATTTTATACCAGTTTTATGCTGAAAAAAAAACTTAAACTGGCTACGTGTATGTTGTCACCGGACAGGTAAATAGCAAATCATCATGTTATTGATTACGACTTAGTACTTTCTTTAGTACATTTCGGTTATTGTTTTTAATTTGAATTACGATTACATTATTCCTTTGATATATAATCACTTGTCTATTACGGAAAGGCAAGGATGAATGTATGTATCACCTAAGTAGTATTCCCGATGTTACGCTTTACTGAGTTCACGGTTACGGGAAAAGCCGTTTGTGAATAAAAACCAAAAATACATCAGATGAAACAGAATCCGTAAAACAATTGTATTAAGCAGTACAACTAGTAGTACTATTCGCTTCACTTAGTATTTGCTTAGTCATATGAAACCATTATAATCTGTGTTTGTTTCTAAGAATACAATAGTTGTTCGTAATGATTTGATTGAAAACACATTACGGGACTATTTAATTAGTTCCCTGCCCGGCGAGGCATGGGAGAGTGAGCTTGAGACGTCCAAGTGCGGAAGATATGCAAATTACTGGTTTAACATTAACAAGAAAGCATAGTGGAGTGGTTCTATGAGAGGTATTGACCTTACATGGAACCACTACTGAAGGGTATTGACCCCTATGCTTCTTTCTCCTCCCCGTCGTAGGGTCGGCACAACAAATCAATTATGTTGTTTTTTATGGTTTTGGCTTGGTTTTGACCCGGCCTTGAGAACAAACACCCAGATACGAAATTATATGTGGACCACACAAACACCCGCCGTACAATGGCTTACCAACTGCGCCACTGAGTCATATAGCCCCACTATTTTACTACCTAAGCGAAATCAACTTTTTTCAGAATCGAGCAACACAAAACGCCATACGGGATATGTTCGAACGAAATAATATGTCTTAGATAAATCAAACGCTTCCGCTTTCCGCCGTGACAATAGTTAATATCAGTAAGATCGAAAAATATTATGCATAATTATTTCATTACTCAGTAAGTTGTAAGACGTGGGTTCGATTCCCACAGCGGCGACAATCTTTTCGCACTTTTTCTACATCTTAATCTAAATCAACTTTTTTTCGAGCAACACAAAACGCCATACGGGATTAATATGTCCAAAATACAATCAGTAAGATCACGATTTACCAAAATAAAAAAAAAAAAAAAAAACAACCCGAGCAAAGCTCGGTCCTCTAGGAACTATTATTTATGTCTTATAGTCTGGGACAATGTTTTAGGGTTCCGTACCCAAAGGGTAAAACGGGAGGCTCTACTAAGACGCGGAGTCTTGTCTCTCTGTTTGTCCGTCTGTCACCAGGCTGTATCGCATGAACCGTGATAGTTAGTTGAAATTTTCACAGATAATGTATTTCTGTTGCCGTTATAACAAAAAATACTAAAAAAAAAGGAGTAAAAAAAATATTTAATTGGGGCTCCAACACATGATTTATTTGTCGTTTTTATAGATATTGGTACGAATCTTTTGTGGGTGGTTTTTTTATAACTAAAAAATTAGTTCGGCCAAAGCCGGAAACGTTTGCTAGTTTACTTTAATACAACAACCCATTTGTTAGCCAATCATGCCTACTTTAATCGTATTTGAGTTAAATGACTCTTACGTAACATTGTTAGCTAATAGAACAGGTTTATTAATTGCACATTGTAACGTTCCCAGCATTCATGTGCAAAGTCAATGACTACGCTTTTTCTCATGGAATCAATGCTAGGCGTTTGTGAAATGTAAAGTTCCACCAGCATATGCACGGAGCAGCGAGAAAGTCAAAATAAGGGCGGATGTATTTTATAACGCCCGTTTTTAGGGTTTCGTACCCAAAGGGTAAAACGGGACCCTATTACCTAGTCTGTCTGTCTGTCTGTACGTCCGCCTGTCACCAGGCTGTATCGTATGAACATATTTAGACATATTTAGACAATTAAAATGGTCACATATTATGTATTTCTGGCTGTCTTTTCTTATTTTGTACTAAATCCAGAATAAAAAAACATTTATTTGGGGCTCCCATAAAACAGACATGATTTTTTGCCGTTTTTATAGATAATGGTACGGAACACTTCGTTCGCGACTCTCACTGGCCCGATTTTTTTTTATTTTTAAATATTTTAACAATGTTATTTCATTCATTACCTATGTCTCAATGCTACCAAAAGTTAAGTGAATACCGCGGCCCATGGACATCTGCTTTACCCGAGGGTTGCAGATTCGTTGACAATCTTTTGAAAATTGGGCTCCGGCTACCTCACTCACCAGACGAAACGAGAAAGTATTATACTTCCACTTCACGCCAGTCTTCTCGGAGTTCGTGGTACTTACCCAGACGAGCCTGCCCATTCGTGCAATAACCGGGGCTGCTGCGTGGCCCTACCACAGTTAAATAATTATTTCTAAACGCACTGATTCATTTGACGGTTTCATTTTCCCCGTTTTTCTGTCTCGTTGTATTGAAATTGATGGAAACTGCTTTTATACAAATGAAACTTGATTATGATAAAAAGTACCATAAAGTGTAAGTTGATTAATGTTTTTTAATTAATTTACATTTTCTTTAATTTTCTTTATATGTAGACATTTAACATTTGTTGTAAATTATGTTAATGTTTATTTTGACTTCCAATGATGTTTTAATAAAGTTGACGCATGTCCATACTGCACGCAGTTTAAATATTATCCGCTTTACATTATGTAACATATGTAAGTGAATGTGACAGATGATATATAATATAGAATATATGCTACAGAAAGATATAGCAGACTAATCAATTACACCAATTGGTGTAATTTGCTTGCCTCAGTTTACGTTACGGTACGCTAGTGTCATATCTAACTCGTATTTATATTTAATATTATGGTTTACTTCATCAGTTCTGACACTTCAAAGCCACCATTTATCAAAGAAAGATCTGACAAACAGATATTTCAGTATTAAATGTATACCTATAATTATTTATGTCATTTATCTCATAAGCGGATTTTCTATTTTTCATTTCCACCATTTTTTATTTCAACATTGTTAACTTAAGGTTTGAACTTGCCATCTATAACAAATTAGCATCTACGTACCCTATGTTAATAAAATTATATACCTAAATAAAATTGATTGCTTGTATAAAATGATTTATCTTAATATTTATAAACATATGAACGATCATCAATATTTATTTTCAGAGCCATGTACAGTTCGAATACATCACGGATTGAAGAGGAAAACTGTCTTCTCAGGGAACTTTGAGATGAAATGGTTTTTCGATGGTGGCAACTGTGGACAACGAATTAGTAATAAGAAATAAATAAATAAGCAAAAATAGAATAATAATACTTAAGCTAAAGCCTAAGTTTACTCTCGCAAGATGAAAAGAGCGAAACGTTTACGAGTGTAAAATAATCTCATATATAAATTCATGCCAAATATCAAGGAAACAATAAAAAACATAAATGCCACAAGCTGTGGCAAAGATAACAAAGAAACAATGCTAAGATTATAAAGGATCACTGTGGACAGATTAAAAATGTCGACTTGCAACGATTTGAACGACGCAGACTCCTCGCCGAAACTGCGAATGAAACCAGCAATCAGTAGAATTTTTTGCTGCAGCGTTACAGCCGCTTCTGGCTTCATAGCCGCTTATGCTTTGGTGAGTTATGTATTATTCAAGCAATTTTTTATTAAATTTAATGATACAGAAACTTCTTACATTTACGCGCGTGTAGTTACCATCATCATCATTTCAGCCTGTTTGAGTCCACTGCTAAACATAGGCCTCCCCGACAGACTGCCACCAAGCCTGACCCTCAGCCACCTGCATCGATTGACTTTCCGCTCACTTGGACAGGTCGTTTCTTCATCTAGTGACCAGTGGTACCCTCCACTACGATGGCCAGTACGAGGCTGCCACTCGAGAACTTAGAGAGTGTAGTACACATGATTAAACGAAACTAGTTTTATGCACTTATCGCGTTTTTTTTTTTTCAATTTGACAAGCCGTTTATGACAGACTGTCTGATTAACACGAACGTTGCGGAATGTCCAAAACGTTGCGGGAAGTTAAATTTAAAAATAAATGAGATAACTCTGTAGATTGTTTAATTTAATATTGTGTAGTGTTCGCGTAAATATAGGAGTATTTTTTAGTTTTATTTGCGTACTGGTAACCTGGGATATTATTGTACCTGCATGTGGCCATTGCTGTTATAGTTATCAGTAACATGGGGTCATGAATTTTTACCTTTTTATCCTTTAAATAATAATGAATGGGTTCGTCTGTATGAAAACCTCTCTAGAATACAAAATAACACAACAAGGTTATTTCATATAAAAGACAAATGAATCTAACCAGAGACAAATCAAATTACATAATTTTATCACAAAGACTTTTATGTAATGGTGTTAGTACCTCATTAAATTACGTTCGCAAAATTCAATACGCAATACTTGAAAATGACGCAACTTGAAGAAAAATACAAATGTGGTTAGTGCTTTCCGTTTTCAACAAAGCTTATTGCAATAACTGGTGCTTTCAGTACTTGGTACTAATATGTGACTGTTATTTTTAAGTTCACGTCTGCATGAGGACCTGCGTTAACTGCGTTTTTAGTATTGCTATTTTTCACGGTTGCTTATCCTGTTCCATGTTCGATTGCTCACTTTGAATTGTTTCTGCTAAAGTAAGATGAAAATTCTGATAAAAATCTGATAAGATCAACAAAAATGCCAGCTCTCTACCACCAACATGTCATTGGCATTGAGATGAATGGATGGCGCGGTAACGAAGCCATTGACCAGTGCCGGGGGTCACACAAATACTTGTACCGTGTGAAAATCAAGTCACACGAGACAAGTTTTTGTGTGACCCATAGCCCATAGATAATGTGTCCGGATCACCGGATCTGGGTGTTTGTTCTCAAGAAAGGTTTGACATCATGCGGCGGACAGTCATAAAAAACCTAGCTAATACCATTACTTAACAACATGATTCACATGATGTGCCGACCCCGCGTAGATGGGATATGGACAGCAGAAAGAAGAAGATGCCACTTGCATTGATTTCAAAAATAACCTTACAACATTGCTGTCACGAATTTCTAATCTTTCTGGTGTGAAGATATCTAACTGTTGATATACAAGGAATACTGTATCATTTATAATGATGTCATATTTATAGAACTACTAAAAATCTTAAGTATGTAGTAATTACAAAACCTTTCTTAAACTGATGCGAAATGAAAATCTCGTTAAATTTATTAATCATTGCATAAATTTACATTTACGTCACGTTAGACTGGTAGTTTCAGATACAATGTTATGCATCCGATACCTTTTTTTTATTGAGTTAGACAAGAGCGTAATACATGTATGTACGTAAATAAACATTACCTACATATTGAATGTTAAACCTGTCACTGGTAACATAAAAAATAAGACAGACATGTCCCATGAACCGTAAACGATAATTCATTCAGTTTGGTATATGTCAATTTATTTTCCGAATTAGTAATCCCTTAAAAACGTGTTGCCATTTAAATACTTGATCATTACATCAGCTCATGCACATCGATATCGTACCGGAACCAATTTTTAACGTACAAATAACTAAATTGTTAAACAATAGTAGTTTATGAAATTAGTCGCCTTTAAATTTGGTTTTAATTAAACCCATAGTTGGATAGTCGTTATGATATTTATATTTTACTAAAAGATCAGATATATCGAAAGTATCTTACGAGACTGATTTAGACTAAACACTGTACGTTTAGATTATTTGGTGTTTTGTAACTAGGTCTGAGCGAGAGTAACGGGGGCAAGGCGCACGGAATACATAACGCGAGAGATGTCAGGAAACTTTTATTTTCGGCCGGCGCGGCGTTTGGTTGCAGCCACGATTAGCGTTTTAATATGCAGTTATGTAACCAGATTATTTTGTTCTTAATACGCTTTGTACAGATACAACTCTCCATTTGCTCACACTGACGAATACTGACGAATTATTTATTTCGAAGATATGTGAAGTCCTCCAACCCAGAGTGGGGTCGCGTCGTGGAATCTGCCCAAATACCCTCTGCAAATAAGGCCTCACCTAGCTGTGGGACATGTATGGGATGATAATTTACCTTTTTTTACTGTCTTTTTAGTAATAGTAGTTGAAATTATTACTATCTACGATCAGTGGCGGGTTTGCCCTAAGGCCCAATAGGCCCGGGCCTATGGCGGCCACATATTAGGGGCGGCCAACAGTGACAAAAATTCACTGATGATAATAAGATATATGATGGGCTTTGAGAAAGGGGCGGCTGGAACTTATTACATGGGCTGGGGCCTAGGGCGGCCTAGACTACGAATCCGCCACTGGCTACGATGACTCTGTACACGCGTTTAATTAATTTTTGTTTCTCTTCCAGGTTGCTTACGCGATAGCGCTAATATATGAGATAGTGTGGGTGGTGGAGTCGCAGAGCGGGCTGCCAGTCGCCTCTGCACTGCTGATGGTGTGCTACTGCATCGTAATCGCAGCCACAGTCACCTTGGTGCACGGACTCATCTCCGTTAGTGACCACACACAGCATTTTTGCTGGACATCCGTTCACCATGATATAATAAAATATGATGACCCCGTGGCGCAGTTGCCAAGGTATTGGCTTCGGCGTCGGGGGTTGTGGGTTCGATTCCCACACGGCACAACTATTTGTGCGACCCACGGATAGTTGTTTCGGATCTGGGCGTTTGTCTACGTGAAATTTATGTTTGTAAAAAGTCCTTAAACACTGGATAATGTTATCCTAAAGTGAAGGCAATGTTTATATTTTATGGTTATACTACTTTATTTTAAATCATAATCAACATTTTTTGATTTTATACTCGGTAAGTGATCCTGCCGTAAAAAAATTGGATCGATAAATAATTTAGTGCCAAGTTAAATATAGGCCATATTTATCTTATCATTTTTTATGGAAAAAGGAGCAAAGGAGCAGGAGGCTCACCTGATGGTACGTGATCACTGGCGCCCATGAACCTCTGCAACAACAGAGGTCTTGCAAATGCGTTGCCGGCCTTTTAGGAAAAATACGTGGTAAAATCGTAAAAGCCGAACCGTATTTTAGGAATTGTAGGACTTATTGAACATTCTTGTGTTGTTTTAAATGATGTGATATTTAAAATGATAAATTTAAAATGGAGCTGTACCCATTTCCAGAAAAACAACACGTACCTCCTGGCGTGGTTGATAGCGGTAATATTGGTGCTGATACCGGAATGCGCGCTAGTATTCTACATGTCAATTAGTCATTGGGTGAGTTTGTCAAAAGTTTATACATACTGCACTACGCTACGCTTCAGTTAATCTTCTAAAAACTGACATGACACAGGCAGAATTCTTTTAAGAGAGGCCATTAATCAAAGAAGAAGAAGATCTTCTAAAACATAATGCTTCTTAATTTAACTTTGCTTATCTAGCCCCTCTGTAAAAGAGGAGGCCTTTGCCCAGCACTGGGATATGGATAGGCTGTTACTTTACTTTATTAAGACACTTCTTGGTCTCGCGGCCATTTATGTCTCATACAAGTGCCACAGCCCTAGAAGGCTGGTATAAATTAGAAGCGTTTATGCTTCTACGTTTCGTGTGTTGATCAAGATAATACACTTTACTTTTTTTTCTTTTGTAATTTTTGGCTACACTATCACATTTGGTTAGCTTATAATGATAGCTGTGTGCGTGTGTATATTTTTTTTATGTGAGAAGGTGGCAAACGATCTGGCGGTTCACCTGATGTGTAATGATACATTTGCAAACCCGTAGGGCCTTGGATGCTGCCACCTTTTAAAAAAGTGCCCCCCAGCTACCTCGCTCACCAGATGAAACGCAGAAGTATATACATATAACACTTCCACTTCACGGTGGTCTTCTGGTCTTCTGTTAGGTCGTGGTACTTACCTGGACGGATCTGCCGATTGGTGCAACAGTGAAGAGCGCTGCGTGGCCCTACCACCGAAGGTGTGATAGACAAATAAATGGAGTGAACGCTTCCAGGGTCTTCAAGGCGTGTACGGCGGCGCTGAGCTCGCGTGCTACGTGGCTCGTCTCCCGGCCATCGTTTGTGGCGTCGTGCTAGTTCAGTCTGCGTACGCACTCAGAGAGGCCAGGTGATTAATTATATTACGCGAGAAGGCGCCAAGCGAGGTGGCGGTGACTGGTGATCTTAAGTGATAACCGCCGCCCGTGTAAATAATTTCAAAGATTTTGTAAGAGCCACCTTAATGGAAAGGGCCTATTATAACGTCGAGGAAAAGGATGTGTGGAAATGACTTGCTCTGCACTTGCAAGGCCCCTGGCTCCTGCTCATTTTATACTTAAATACTTCTGTGTGTACACTTAAATAATTTATTAAAAAAAATGCGGTCATACAGAGTTTCTTGTTTCTTCTCTTGCAGGGCTAGTTTAGTGAACCGGTGTTTATGACGTTCAATAAGATTTTAAAATAAGCCTATGTTGAATAAAGAAATTTTGACTTTGACTTTGACATGGACATTTGCGTTGGCACCTTTTAATAAATCGGGCGACGGCTACCTCACCTCGCTCACCAGACGAAACGCGGGATTACAAAACTTCAACTATACGCCGGTCTTCTGTGAGGTCGCGGTACTTACCCGAACGAACCTGCCCATTCGTGCAACACTGTTACATGGTCCTACAGAGGTCCGACAGTCAAATCTCATCCTACAAAGGTTATCCTACACTGCGATGGCTATGCGACGCTGTCACTTGTGAAACATTCTTCCCATCGGTTCTCAGTTTGTAGGAGCTACCTGGCGGTTGTCAACCCGATGGCAAAACACCCTCCTATGATGGAAGCTCAAGAAGCTTGCGAAAAATAAACACTAGATGGAGTGAAGAACTGTGCAAATGTGCGGGAAATCGATAGATGCAGGTGGCTCAGGATCGTGCTTAGTGGTGGTCTTTGGGGGAGGCCTGTGTTCAGCAGTTACCACAACGAAATGATGATGAAGACGATGGTGATTATGATATATAAGCCGTTTGTAATGTATTCCAGGAAAGCGGGGTACGAAAATGGCGCTCCTGTAAGCGGTAGCGAGTTCGACGCCAGCCACTACGTTCCAGACGCTCCGAGCGCCTTCACCAATGACGGTTTTCTCCCCGACAACGGTTATACATTTGTGTTTTAGCTCCACCCGTATGTAATTATGTATGTACGGGACAACTTAATACATGTTACAAAATCTACGTTTATAAATACTTGCAAAGGCAAACGACACCGTTTTATACAACTTAAAGAGGCGTTTCGCCTGACATTAAGTGATAACCGCCGTCTATTTACATTTGCAACATCGTTGCACTTGTGTGCATTTGTATGTTGACACGCAACTTGAAATATTGTGTGATAAACATTATGTTTTTGCAGAATCTGGGTGTTTATATATGTATAATATGTTTTACTTACAAATAAAGTTATCTAGTACCCATAGTACAAGCGTAGTTTGGGACTTGAGAACGTTGTGTATAAATGTGTCCCGAAATTTATTTATTCATCAGGCAAATCGGGCTCAATGCCCGACCTTCGTCGGCACTTGTCGACGCGACAGTCCGTCGGGCACGGCTACCCGGTAGTGCTGCAGCAGCCGCCGCCCGCGTACTGGCAGCACCTGTGCGAGCGACAGTACGCGGCGAGCCTGCGCGGACATCCGAAGCGGCACGCGGCGCGGATGTACGGCTCCTGGGTGGGCCCTAGATCCGCGCACGAGGACCCGTACCGGCGGCGGCACTCGGTCGTCGGCGCGTTCGGCGCGGACGAGTACCCGATCAAGGGGTACGACGACGAGCGCGCGGACTGCAAGAGCGAGCTCGCGTACCCGTACCGCTCGCCGTACCAGTACGAAATGCGGCCGCCGTACCCGCCCGACTACTTGCCGCACTTCTACCCGGACTACGAGCGCGAGGAGGCCACGTACGGCGTCAACCTGCTGCGCCACGATCCGTACCGCTTCGGCGGATCTAGGGAGCGCGTGTTCTACGACTTGCGCAACAGCCACACGTCTGTGGGCAACGAGTCCGACGATTTGACCAAGTATAAGGACGTCGCTCTGTAAACGTACAGTGTTCACCGACTTTCTTGACAGGAGCGTGTCATTGCATTTGTCATCGAAGCGTAATATTGGGTGATCTAAGTGAGTTTAGTTTTATTAATACGTAACCAAATGTCGTGTTACGACAAAATTCTGTAGAGCCTGATTTGGCTCCGCGAGTTACGTACTGGCGCGTGCGTACTAATCGTATGGCAACACTGTTCGCCGTTATACTAATATGGAATGAGAGTGAGAGCCGTAGAATTTGACAGAGGCGTGAGCGAGAGGGCAATACTTTGCCCCGTACCGCGTATTTAGCGCTACGATGTGTATGAACTCGCTGCAACATACCGATGCTTACTTGAACATCTTCCAAGGCGAATTGACTATTACACGCCCGATAAAATAACGAAGAAATAATATAGAGTTCTCTTAGCGGAGGATTAGTGGCGTTGCTGTGGTAAGCTTCCTAAATGCTATTAAACGTTTAGGAAGCTAAAAACGTATTTAGGAAGTTTATTACAAAAAGGATCAAAGATTATAATAATTGACAGCGACTGGGAAGCAATTGATACTTATTTTTTAGCACGGAGAAAGTCATTGGATACTATAGCACCACGAAAGACATTTTGAGAAAATATTGAAGGATGTCTAGTTTTTTAAACTACTTTATCTGGTCACAAAACCAAAACAAGATATTATCGAGAAAACAGTGACATTTAGAAAGTTCCTTTGAACTTGACACAGTTTCAATTCTTGTTTTCCTTTTGGTGCTATTTTATTATGTGTAAAGATACATATAAAGTACTAGAGTAAGTTAAAATATCTAAGACAAAAATTGTATCATATCATAATATTATTTTATATAATGTTATTGCTTTATCTTATTTTTTGTTCTGTTGATGAAAAAACTCGACAAGGGCATGACGACTTATATTTTAAAAAAAACCTTATTATACATAAATTATCATAAGAATGAAATAAAAATATATCAAACTTTATTTCTGTAACAGCTGAATTCTATGAATAATTTAAACTAAAAAAATATAAACGAGAAAAATGTATTTTATGTAGTTTGTTACCTAACAACCAAAGGTGTTTTTTATAATTTACTCGAATTAATTTAATGTTCGAAAAAATTACAGTCAGTAATTCTATAAGGAATTGAATAATAAAAATCAATTTGACAACAGGTTTTGAATTTTATTTATTGTTAGTTGTGTGTTCAGGTTAACATGTATGTACCTAAGCCAATGTTTATGCCTGTTTCTTTTTACATTTTTTTAAAAGAAGTGGTGAGAATAAGGTCTACCAAATATATGTATTTATGGCAAAAAAATAATTCTTCACGCGTGTAACACATTGAACAACAAACAAAGCAACAAAGGTGTAACCGTACCATTGCTCTTGTGAGATATATTTTTTTGTACCTGTTATCATGAACACGAACCTTAACTGCAGTATTACATAATGACAATCTATTAGAATGTTCCTCTGCATATGTTTTTGTCATTTCTTTTATGTACTATAGTCACCTAACTACGCTGTTTGCCAGGCGAGTTAAACAGCTTAGCTGGAAGAGGTCCGTGGGTAGACCACTCATGGACTCGGGAAAGAATAATGTTCCAAGGATAGTTCGCAAGGATATCGCCTTAATTAATTTCATTTAAAGAAATTGCCTGGACGATCTTAAATATTGAAAAGGACAATTGTTAAGTTTCTCCCATTTTATTTTAATTAGATGTTGTCAAAAATTACTTGCTTGTGTGAGGTAGAGCGAAGACCATTAGACGACGAAGACGTCTAATGGTAGTCACGGAACACACTGTAGCTTTTATTTTAATTATTAATTTTGTGTCCGATCTACGCAAAATTAGATTGGGCCTAAATTTATTTTTAATAATGATAGGATCGACAATACAAGCCTGCCACTCGACAACTGTTCTTCCTCAACGATTATTGTTTGTTCGAGCAATACAGCCGGCCCATTGCTACTTCAGCTTAGTAATCCTCTGAGTTATGTCGGTTAACTTTGTTCTACGGTGGTTGTCTTCATTGCGAACACTATCACGCAGAGAAAATACTTACTAGACTTAAAGTGTGGTAGCTGTACCTTAAAAATAAGGGCTCGATAATAATAATAATAATAATAATATGCTTTATTGTACATCAAAAAAAGAAAAAAGTACAGAACTAAACAAAATATTTATCAAATATTGGTCATCAAAAGGCGACCTTACTGCTACACAGCAATTTCTTCCAGGCAACCTCAGAAATTAATCAAAAGAAATTGTTTTTGGGTAGGATGTACATGAAATTAAGTAAAAAGAAAGTTGCAACAAAAATTAAAGTAATAAGAAAAACATACCTCTTGTGTGTGATCATCAAAGTAAGAGTGAAATAAAAAGGGAAGGAAAGAGACATCGAGAGATAGAAAGGAGCTAGATAGAGAGATAATGCTTCTTAACCTGTCTTTTAAACGAATCTAGGGTTTGAGCACGTTTAATAGCCAAAGGTAAAGAGTTCCAGAGTTTAACAGCGACAGCAGAGAAGGACGTAAAAACTAGTTGATCGCAAAGGATTTTTAAGGAAGAGGTTTTCATTTGAACGTAGAGGAAAGTTATGAGAGGAGCAAAGAAATTGAAAACGTTTCTTCAAATAATCCGGACTTGATACATTAAATAGGACGCAGTAAAGAGCAGAAAGAATATGAGTATTCCGGCGAAAACGAATCGGGAGCCACTTGAGCTTATTGCGATATTCTGATACATGGTCATATTTACGAAGTCCAAATATGAACCGTATACATAGATTTTGGAGTCGCTCAAGTTTATTAAGCTGCTCCTCAGTGATGTCGAGATAGCATATGTCAGCATAATCAAGAATGGGGAGCAGTAAAGAATAGGCAAGCGTAATTTTGGTCGAAATAGGTAAAAAGTAGTTCAACCTTCTGAGCGAACCACATGCTGCAAATAATTTACGAGCGACTGCATTAATTTGAGGGGTCCATGAAAAACTTGAGTCCATCAATATACCCAGATTTCTAACAATGTCATCTCGATGTTCGGCCTAACAATAAATTTTTTATGTAGTCCTTTAAACTTAGGGGTCGATGGTGAAAACGGGCATATCGGGTCTCAGTTCGTAGGTCAACACTGTCAGCACACGTTGATTTAAGGCTTTGGGCTTCAACATTGAAGAATATTCCACGAGAAGACAGTTTTTCGAACACCGATCGGCAAATCCGAGTTGGATTCACATGTTTGAGAGGACGATGGATGCAGGTGACTCAGTAGACCATGGTATATCATACCTGATATAGTTGTTGGGGTGATTTAAGACTGCAGACTTGTTTGATCTATTATTTATTTATTTATTACAAACACGGACACAAGTAACATTAAAGGCTGACCCAATGCTATAATGTAGCCAAAGGTTATAAAATAGTCGAAACAAAAAATAAAAATAAAAAACTATTCCATGAAACCAATTAAACCCAGTAAGAATATAATAACAAAATCATACTTATAATTTTATATGTAGCACGTAATAGCATACTATAATAAAATCATTTCTGTGGCATGAACACAGGTCAATTCTTATGTTTTAAGCAAGCTATATATACCTTCAGGCGGGTTTTTATAACTCTTTCTGTTTGTCCTATGTAACCCACATTGCTCACATTTCCAGTCCAATTATGTGCTTTCCAAAGGTTTACCAGTCAGATAGCTAACCACCGTTCATCCCAGTTATATAGAAGTTATACTTTTTGCGCCGAATGGTCACGGTTTAATAATTGTTACACTGTTTTCAACGAATGATAATGAGATTTGCTGCTTTGGTAATCAAACAACTTATTGGTGTCTAAAAAGTATCCTTAATCACATTCCAAGAAGTTCTTCGGATATTAACTCGGGCAAATAAATATAAAGAAACTAATATATTTTAAAAACGGTAATAAAAAGTGATATGTAATTGTAATTTTAATTATACAATTCAATAAAAAAGCAGTTACTTTTCTTAGAACTTATTTTAATTAAAGTATATTTTGCATTATCGAAACGCAATTTCTACCCCTAGTGTTGCTACATTTATTAGTCTTATTTTTAATTTTCTATAATCTTAACAAATTTTAATTTACTATGCTAATTGAGCTTAAAAAAATATAAACATTTTTTAAAATAACTACAACTTTGCACATTATATTTTTTTCAACTGGTATTTAATTTTAAGTTTGTTTTCCAACTAAAGACACGGTGTACAATCCTGTAGTTGCTGTGTATTTTTAATGTTAAGTATTTTGACACCGTGTCTTGAACTTGTGTCCAGAATCCCGCTTTGGCATTCTGTTGTCAGTCAGATATATAGGATTGAAGTCGTCGACATTTATAAAAGTTTCAAAGTTTTTGGTGTTCAAAAGTTAGTTTCAAAACTTACACAAGTGACAGAAAATAAAAATTAAAGAAAGAGCATTAATTCTACGTGAACTTTGCAAAACTAGATTAAGTGTCTTGTTATGAATTGTGAATAACTGTATTATTGTTTTGTGTAGGTGGCTACGTACGACGGATTGTCCTAATGTGAAAGTGTTTTTCGCATAAAATTTAACTTCCATTGTTTGAAATATTCCTGGTACTGTACAGAAAATGCCTTGTGATTAACTGGTGTGAGATATAGTTATGATGAAGTATATTGGTATGTGTTAAGTGTGTAGCCGAACTTATTGTGCGATTTACGAAAGATTGTGGTAAGTTTTATTATTATTATTATAAATGAAAAAAGTTTAGAAATCGGTTTATTATTTCACATAATTCATATTTTATAACTCAAAATTACCAACAAAACCTGAAAAGTTAAATTTGTTGCATAAAAAATTAAAACCTATAAATTCCGATCATGTGTTCTTAATAGGCAGTATTTTGGTTATTGGTAGCAAAATATGCAACATAATTATTAATAATAAATTATTTTATTGATTGTTTGTGTATTTAAAGCAATACTTAATACAAGAGTAATCAAATATTTCTCATTTGAGCAATAATTGAATGCTCTCATGTTTTTTTTTTTGTCATTCGTTCTGATTTTCTGTATTATAATTGTGTACAATAAAGTAAAAAAAAATTCTTTACACAGAGTTTTAGTCATAATTCAATGCAAATATTATATTTAACAATATCCATATTTAAGGAGTAAATATTCAGTTTTTACTGATGATAGAAAAACTTCTGTCTATGATAGTTGTAAAGCAATATTTAATAAACCTATGCGCATGTTAGCAATTTTTTGCACATCTTAGTGTAGATTGATCCCCCACTAAATGGAGTGATGACCTCTGCAAGTGTGCGGGAAGTCTATTGATGCAGGTGACTCAGGATCATGCTTTGTGTTGGTCTGTGGGGGACCTGTGGTCAGCAGTTGACACAATAAGGCTGATGGTATAAAAATATTATGATGGTCAAAAATCAAATAATATTCACTTCATTATTTTAACCATATTAATATAAAAAAAAAAAATTAAAAGTACTGTATGAACATTCAAACTTTTACGCCCATCTTCTGTGAGGTTGTGATTCTTTCTGGATGTACTTGCCCATTCTGTCAAAAGGCATGGCCCTACCACAGTTAATAATTTATACAAAAGTAAAATAAATGTAATAATATAAACACAAAATCATTTTACTTGTCAAGTCTCACCAAACATGCAAATTGTATCTCAAGTTAAAAATGCTCTCTCTAAAATAAATTAAAAATTAATGAAAATAAATTAAGTCTGACACTGATGTGTGATAATTTACAGAGTGCTTTGCTGCAAGGATGAGTGTGCCAGGCCAGGTGATTGAAGGAGACATCCTATCATCAGGTATTTAAGTGTATAGATCATTTTTATAGTTTCAGACTTCCCATAAATATAAGTTGTATATTTTTAAATATACAGAATTTTAAAGGACAAAACAAACAAAACAAAATACAATACAATCATCTATTAATTTTAATCAGAAAATAATTAAATATTTGTTTGTTCCTCAATTTCTTTATTCTTTATTGAAAAAATGATCATTTAAAACTTATATCAGATATTGGATTTTACACGATAATATCTGCTAAATGATTATAAGTTTACATTTGATCAGTGAGTGATCAAATGTAAAATTATAATGTTATATGTTATATGTTATTTTATATATTATTTCTTTACTTATTACAATTCTTGCAACATATTTATTATGTATGATTTACAATAAGCGCAACATTATTAATATAATAATTAGGACCCTTTTGGATCTACAGTGAATTTGGATTTAACCCTGGTAGGGCCACGCAACAGTTTACGCTGTTGCACGAATTGTCCGTCCGGGTTAGTACTACGACCTCACAGAAGACCGGCGTAAAGTAGAAGTGTTGCACTTCTGCGTTTCGTCTGGTGCATGAAGTAGCCGGGGCCCACATTTTTAAGAGGTGGCAACTCATCTGCAATCCTACAGGTGTTGCAAATATCATGGTAATAACCCGGTCGGACCTGCCCATTCGTGCAGGTCACAGTCAAATATGAATCTTAATCTGTGAGCTAAGAATAGTACAGTTCTAATTATATAAAAAACACTAAAAATGTTGAACAATTTAGTTGTATCTTGGCATTTTTCTTGTATCGTAGTGTGACAGGACTATAACATTCAAATGACAAATGACTTTTCAAATGTTATTTAAGTTGGTTAGGATGGTTAAACTGAATTGATTAGAATGATCTTAATGATCAGAATGATCAATTCAGAGAGATTAACCATCATTTTGGCAACTCAAATGACATTTGAAGAGACTTTGACAGGTGATTAGTTAACTTCTACGATGATCAGTGTTTCAGAAACCGGGCGGTTATCTCGCGCAATTTGCGTGTATAGCGGATTAGTTTGGGCGAATTGTGATAAAGGCGGGTTAGCGTCGGGTTAGATAAGAGCTGACTAGATACGTTCGCAGAGTAAACTGGGCAACGAGTAAACATTGCACCGATTACGTAAGAATAGAGCGGAATAAACCTTCGCGTCCGCCTATACTAATTGGGTGGTCGAACGTTATCACAGTTTTCTACGTCTTATCCACAAGCTTGTTGTAGATAAGTTTCTACGGTCGAAAACTTGTGTGTCTCGATTCGGTGGCGGGACGACACTCACGGCTACTGTGACGTCATGGCTTATGTTTTTTTTAAAATCTATTAGGCAATATAGCGTAATAGAGTGGAGCAAGATCTATAAACACGACCAATTAGTGAATTTCGATTATCAATAGTTAGATTATTAATTTTGTATGAAACTAATTCATTAATACTTTCGAATAGGGTTTTTTATGCGGGCAGAGACTGGTTGCTAGCAGCTACCAAGAAAAAAATTGTTTAGGATATATATGTATAAAGATCTTTGAAACTTTAAATCGTATTAAAAATTTTGAATAGATGAGTTTAATATGTAAATATTTTGACGATTATAGAAATATAACATATTTATGAATATCACCAGTTTCGCGTGATAATTCTCGTCGGTTTTTAGGTGAAAATTATTCCAGTGATTATTATAATCATATTGGAATGTAACCCTATCAGGACACTTATCCTATTTTTTTCTAAGGCGAGAAGTATCCTACCTATTGTACGCCGACACCTATGAAATTGTAAATTGTGAGTGCTGACTTATCAAGTCCTTGATAAGGAAATTATCGTGAGGAAAACTGCATAATTTCGAAATATCAATAAATACAAAACTTTCCGTTGATACGATAACACTACCAAAACGCGGTAGTGTACCAACCCTACCGCGTTTTGGTAGTGTTATCAAAAGGCCTCCCTGTACAGGTAGATAGTCCACCAGTACTATCTACCTGTACAGGGAGGCCTTTTCCCAGCAGTGGGACACATTAGGCTGTCACCTTATTTTACTATAAGGCGTTAAAGATCAGTTATAAGTAAACAATAGGATGTTAAACTATTATAACCACATTGAATGGCATCGTATACGTTGTGTGAGATAGCGGCGATGGTAAGCGGCAGTGCGTGGGAAAATAGTTTTCTCAAAGATAACACTATCTTCGATGACATACACTTGAGGTATTATGCCGCTAATTTAAAGCAACAACGGTGGTTTCCGACACTGCTACTGGATCTTTGAACTATGTGAATTGAGTCTAAGTCACCTTCTTGCTAGTATTGGTGGATTGACTGAAATAGGGTCACGCAACAGTCTTCACGAATGGACAGTTCCGTCCGGGCAAGTACCACTACCTAACAGAATAACGGCGTGAAGCGGAAGTGTTATGCTTCCGCTTTACGTCTGGTGAGTGAGGTTGCCGGGGCGCACTTTTTTGAAAGGTGGCAACGTATTTGCAACCCAACGGGTGTTGTGTCCATGTGAAGCGGTTATTGCATCACATCAGGTGAACCGCCAGCTAGCTTACTTATATAAAAAAGAGCAATAAACTGGGGCCTTCTTTCTTTATATTTATTTCCAATATTTTTGAACAAAACAATATAAGTCTAGAACTTCGCCGGTACGACAAACGAGTGTTCGGTGTAATAAATCTTCAGATATAGCGCAAAGGGGTATTTCCCGCTGTACTAGATGTTTTCCGCTGTACTACCAGTTTAGTAGACCAGTAATTTGTATAAATCCTTATTGCTCATTTGAAGACGCAAAAAATGTTCCAACCTTAGAAAAATAAGAAGACTCGTTATGATTGTGTCATTCATAACAATAGATATTTTTCCTTGGTTTGTTAGTAGGGAACAGGGTTTCAAAATATACACGGTGATCAGGTATTGCCGGTTTTACGTCGACTAATGGAACAGCCTGTGTACATCACATAAATCCATCAAAGTACATTGTGGGTTCACGATTAGGATTACGTCCCGATAGGGTGGGTGATAATAGTAGAGCTGTTCAATCTGCCAAGAAACTGTTCTAAGCGCTTGTTGCACTGTCTGTTGCACGTCGAAATATTGAAAATGTCTCGCCTGTTGCATAGTCCCTAGAGTCGTTTCTGGCCCGGTGCTTTGTATCGCCAGAGGTCGGGCTATCCGTCCGAGCGGCGGTCTCGCGATCGATTCCGCGCCTGCGCGTCGCCCCAGACCAGTACAAAGGCGAGCCAGCTCCCAAGCGGGCTGGCCCCGTCAAAATAATAGAGCGGACCCTCGCGATACGGCCCACAGTATCCCACAGCCCGCACTTTCAATATCTAGTGGATAGGCCAAAAGGAACGCGCGCTAATAACTCGGCCGCTCCGTTTCCCGATTGTTTTTTTTTTTAATTATGTGAGCTCGTCACTCCGAGCGGCCAGTCTCTTCTTTTTTCGGTTTTTGAGGAGTCGTCGATTGATTTATTCGTCGAAAATGTAGCTACATGCTATATAGGTGAGTGTTTGTCCTTTCTCTATTACATTCCCCCCTTACTTGTTGCGCCCCGTCTGTGGGCCGATTACGTAATCGCTAATGGCTCTAACGGGTCCTCGACATCGCTCGATGGCTTTCAAGATAGTGTCCGATGTTCATCCTTTTCGAATTTTAAATCGTCAAAGTCGTTTTTATACTAACCCTTCGCTTGCGACATCTTCCCAATAAAATTAGTTAATTGAATTAAAATAAAAACTCCGAATGTTATATGTTTATTACAAAAATTTATATTCATATCTTGAATTATATTATACATGAAAGTTTTAAGTTTATATTAAACCCTACTATTTTCATTCAAACCCTTTGAGTCATTTTCGAGTCTTTTCCAGACTAGAATTTTCATCTACTGACTAATTTCTGGAAGAAGAAAATAGATGAAAATTCTAAAAACCTCATCTTTAATTATTATGATAAACACTTAATTTTTATTTTTAATGTTTAGTGACTAAGTTTTTTTTGTGACAATTTTAAATACGTATGAAAATTGTAGGTACAAATTACTTGTTTTATTACATACTGCGAAGAGGAATTAGTCTAAATAATTTGACAATTCAATCACTTTTAAAATGATCTTCATGGGTGAATTCTTTAAAAGAAAGATATAAGCTGTATGATTTAATTTATTACAATTGAATGAACCAAATAATTAAAGTTTTTATGAAATCTTGGAAAATCAAGGTCAATCAATCATGTCTTAACAAAGTATAACTTAGTGTCTTTTTTTTTTTTTTAATGCGAAAAGTTGCCAAACAAGCAGACGGGTCACCTGATGTTAAGTGAATACCGCCGCCCATGGACATCTGCTACACCCGAGGGTTACAGATGCGTTGACAACTTTTTGAAAATTGGGCTCCGGCTACCTCACTCACCAGACGAAACGCGAAAGTATTTCTCATACTTCCACTTTACGCTGGTCTTCTGTGAGGTCGTGGTACTTATCCGGACGGGTCTGCCCGTTCGTGCAACAGCCGAGGCTGCTGCGTGGCCCTACCACCTTATTAAATGTTTCCTCTTGTATACAAGAGGAAACATTTAATATAAGTTTTTTATTTATTTATTTCTTCTATATTTATGAACTGAACAGGAGATTTTAGTAAAACAAACAAATGTGAGTTCTAAAGGACAGATGGAACTAAAGAATGCACCCGCGGCAAATTGTAACCTTTTGATGTTGACCTTTTACGTGCGATCGGCGAGAGTCCTTTTCATGTGACCTCACGCGGCATTTATTATAAGCATCTTATTATTTATGGACCCCGGTCAAGGTTCAGATGCGGGCGGTTGCAGGAGGTCCAGACCTCTGAATCTGTCAACAATATGATGTAAGGTCCTTTGTCTTATTGTCTTCAGACTAAACGCCACAGAAAAGACGAAACCAGGTAATGTTTTTGAAACTTGTGTAGGTTATCTGTACAATATGTGATGACTTTCACAAGTCGCGAATGACTATAATCAGGGCAACCCTTTATACATTTACATAATTTGTTAATCTCAATCATGTTTACTAAAGCTTAATCTAATCGAATAAATCGGAATTTTTCAGATATCAAAGAACTTTAATGAATTATAACATTAATCAATAATGTAAATGGCATATCAACATTTTCATCGCATAACTTGTATTTTATTCACGGCTTGCAATGTTTGGTCCAATTCCAATACCTCGGGGGTCGATGTAGTACCTCATCAGGGTGATGTGGTTCGGAAAACACGTTGGCTAGTGATGATGAAGATGAATAGATAGTGTTTTAGCGTAAGTCGTTGATTCATGTGAATATTTTTTTTTCACTTTCATGTTGAGTTATGATCGGTGTATTTTATTCCTATTCAGGATGTGTCCGTAAAAAAGGCTCAAACCTTGTAACCCCTCAATATACAAGCTAAATGTCGTAAACACGTTGTGTGGAGTATAAACGTTCCCTCCTTTACGGTTAGTTTTATGGCAGGCTTACAATGTCGCCTTTTATCCATTTATTCGCGACGTTTGCAACGTTATTGTGTGGCGTGCTTTTGTTTTAGTGTTTAGGTATCACTTCTTAAAATGGCTATAGACGTGAAGCAGGTTTAGCCCAGGCTTAGGGATTGTTATGGCAAAACTAAGCCAGCATTTGTACTCAAGCGATCCACTTCTTGTCGTTTGATTTATAACAATTGTTTTGAGATATATTCGGATATTTAAACATAGCATCGCGACTAGTGCTTAATGGGATAGCTTAGAAACTTGTAATAAACAGTATGGATCCCACATTTGTCCGCCACAATTTGCTGTTAATACAAATAATTTCAAAATAGTTTTTTTTAGTGTAACTATTTTTTGGATAATCTGGTTTCGCAGCAACCTTTCCGTTCAATCAATACGCTACCATTATTCCAATCGCGCTTAAATCGTTCTTCTTGAAATTATAGGCTCATAATTTGTAATTAAATCACAGTTTTAATATTCGATCGATTTCATTTTAACTTTTATAAAGCTTTTAAAAATAATCCTAATGTATCTTTTGCAGTAACTACTTAGCCATTGGGCTAGTATGCCGGAATTGAGATCTGAGGTTACGGGTTGAGATATTCCTGAGGCCTACTAATGACCCTCGCGTTTTTTAATTATATATTTGTGGTTAACGAGCCGCTCTGTCGGCCCTGTTAGGTTCTGAGAAGATTATTTTTATATGATGATAGAACTAAAAAGATGTTGAGAAGCCTTTGATATGTTATCAAATTTTTCTGTTTTATTACTTAATTTTTGTAATATATGTACAAAAATGAAATTTTCACAAGCTACAGAAGCACATTTGTAAAGGCCTAACAAAATTATTCCAAGTAATGTATGTTAACCAAAAAACAGGACCGGAACGATACAAGCAGTTTAATCCAATGTTTGTGCTCGATAGGCAATTGTGATTCAGTTTAATAATGTCTATTTTTATCTTTGGCGTCGCCACGCAATAATCTTCGCCACCAATGGACAGGTCCGTTACGGTATGTACCACGATCTCACAGAAGACCAGCCTGAACTGGAAGTGTTATATACTTCAGCATTTCGTCTGGTGACTGCGGAAGCCGGGGACCCACTTTATTAAAAGGTGACAATGCATCTGCAACCCTACGGGTGATGCAAATGTTGCAGCGGTGGCGGTTATCACTTGAACATCAGTTGAACCGCCTGCTCGCTTGCCACATTTTCACATAATAAAAAAGTTGTTTGTTAATGAATTTATCAGTTAACCTTAGTATAAAAAGACCTTACGGTTTTAAGCGCTAAAGTATAGAGGCATGCCGCAAATATGTCGCATTAGTTATGCCGATTCGTTTCGGCTCACGGCCGTTTTGCAATACTCCGAATGATTTTACGATACGCGAAAAATTTTACCTTCATATGTAGATATGTCTGACGTTTCGTATCAATTTCGTACGGCCACAAAGCACCGCAACTGAACGAAAAGAAATCGGTTAAGTAAGATTGCTTTATTTGGAGCTTTTTGCGTTAAATTGTGATTTAAAAATCTCGACGTCGCGAACAATTTGCGCTGTACGGTCTGTTTAAATGAAAAGAGAAGTCAGTAAGGTAGTTTTACATAGTCACAAGGTAGGAAACTGTTAGATGGGGGTTTCATTTGTATCCTTCAGAGATTTTAACTGGTAGAAATGGCGTCCCAAACTGCGTCAATTGATAGTTGAGGTATTATATTTATCTATTAAGTTGAACTCAGTATAAATTAATCTTTCTTTAAATAATAGATGACATGTCATCGTTACGTCAAACTTTTAAGTTTTCTCTATAAGAAAACATGGTAGCTATAAGGATTCCCTTTTGACCTTAATACGATCGCCGCTAAGGGATCACTTACAGAGTTACTTAATTACTTACACGGCTACTTAATTACTTAATTATGTATACATACAGGTATTAACTCGCTCGATACTACTTATGATTATATAAGAGGTTCAATTAACCTTGGGCGAAAGTATTTGGCACACTCACTGTAATTCAATTTTATATGGAACACTTATAGTAACCAAAAGTAAACGATTTTTACGCAATTCTTTTACGAGCCCTTTTTTTAGATCTATAGGCAAAGGACGCTTTGTCTCGTGGGTCGATGGGACAAATTGGGGCTCTTGCGTACTCTTGATCTTGTATTAACTGATGTTTTTGCTTTCAGTCCCGAGACTATTAAAGCTTCATCTGACGCAGAACCGGTGGGCTAGCCAGAACCCACGGGTTTGGGGCCTCCGCTGTAGGTAGGGCCGCGCATGTGCTCATGCGTGCGTTTAACTACGTCATGTCATCTAAGGGCCATCGAAGTTGCGGTGCGGACCGAGACCCCGATGGCCGTCGACTGTGTTTTTAACTAATCAGTTAAATAAATAATAAGTGGCTTGTTTCCAGTCGTCCGGAAAGGAGCAACTGGAGAGTAGAGTGTTGAAAATGGTCGCCAGTAAACAGATAAGCGGCCCAGGGAGAGCTTTGAGAATTTTATTACTTATATTATCTGGGCCCGGGGCGGATTTCGGTTTTAAATTTTTAATAATATCTTGGACCTCTTCGGGGGTCACTGAATTTAAAGGTTCGCCTTCCGGTGGAAGCGCAGCTCTAGTCTCGATTACGCGGTCCAGCTCCGTTAGGTGGACTGTATCGGTGTGTTCGCGCGATGGCGTACATTGCTGCTCTAGGTTGTCCGCAAGGCATTCGGCTTTTTCGGAGTCATCTAGGGCTACTGAAGCGCTATTAGGTCGAACTAACGGCGGTAGAGATTCGCGGGGGTCTGCTTTCAGACAAGGCCAACCGCCAGTAGGCGGTGTGCGATGGCTCGATGTCCTCTAGGAGAGTGTCCCACGTTTTATGTCGGTGTTCCGATACACGATCTTTGACTTCTAGCTGAAGGCGTCGAAGTAGGGTTCGGTTCGATTCCGATCGGTATCGGTCGAAGGCGCGTTTGGCTGCATTTTTCTGTCTAATTAGCAGTCTTAGGTCGGGCGGAAAGTTAAACCGTCGGTCGCCCGACAGTTTCACCGTCCGTTCCGAGTCTGTGACTGCGGAAGTAATAGTTTCTCGGAGACTCGCTATCGCTCGATTTGCGTCATCGAACGTAGCTATCGTCTCGGGTAAGTCTACTAAGTCCTGGGGGTCCAAGGCCTTGAGTTTGACCTCAAGACGATGCCAGTCCACTACGGATTTGGTCGGAGGGACCGCGCCGGCGTTCTGGCCCAGTTTACACAGGACGAGCCTGTGGTCTGAGTCTAGTTCATGGATTGTCTCTATCGACTCGATGTCGAGCGAGACATCCCTGAATAACATGATGTCTAGGACACTCGGTGACGCGTGTTGGTAGTTGTCCACCGTAGGATACCTAGTGGGAGTCGCGGGAGCGACTATGCTAAAGGTTAGGTTATCGGATAAGCTAAAGAGATGCTTTCCGTTGTTATTTGGGTCTTGCGTACTAAAAGTACCATTGCGACCAACAGCATATGGATTTTAATACGAGGAAGGAACGCAACGATATTTTCAAGACCAAAGTTTTGAAAGCGTTCTGGACTACTACCGTTCTGTTCTCCACGCAGATGGAGTTATAATTATTCTATTATGCTTATTGTGTGGTGTCTGCTACAAAATTTTAAAACATCCATTAAATATTCTATTGGGAATATGTCCAGAAACGGCATTAACACAAGAGTGTCAATAATATATTAAAGTGCAACTATGTTATAATATTTCAGGGCACATTTTACACAACCGTTTTCTAGTCTCAAACTAAGCAACGCTTGTACTATAGATACTAGATAACCGATAAACATACTTTTCTTTTGTAAATAAATGGATATTATAAATATGCATCACACCCAGACACTGCAAAAACACTATGTTCATCACACAATATCTTTCCAGTAGTGGGCATCGAACCCATACCCTCTGGCGCAAGAGGCAGGGTCGTCAATACTTTGCTTTGGTTCATAATGTTGTTGGATTTTAAGGCTATCCAGTAGCACGAACATTACAAGAAGTATACTGTGGAAGGGCCTCGCAGCAGCTTCGGCTGTTGCACTAGTGGGCAGGCTCATCCAGGGAGTTACCACGGCCACACAGAAGACTAGCGTGAAGCAGAGATGTCGAAAGTGAATAAATATATCGATATATAATTATATACATATATCGATATACAGTAAGGTGCAAAATTAAGTCAGTACCTTACATTTTATAAAAAGTTGCATAATAAATATAGGATTAATAGAAGAACATGCTTGAGCGAATTCAAAACTTAGCTATCAGATTTATTTTCGGTCTACGCAAGTATGACCATGTCTCCGAATATCGTACAAAGCTCAAGTGGTTACCCATCCGCCTTCGCCGGAATCTGCATATTGTTTCTCTTCTGTACTGTGTTTTGTTCAATCCTATGACTCCGAGTTATTTGAAGGACCAGTTTAAATTTCTTGGTCATGACAGACCAGAAAGAGTTCTGCGATCAGCCAGAGAACTTATTATCACCCCGCATACTTTCCGGACCAACTATTTTAAGAACTCTTATACGGTCAAAGCCATTTGCCTATGGAACGCGCTTCCTCCGCAAATCCAGCGCTCAAAAACGTTACGTAAGTTTAAAACTGACGTTAAAAATTATTATCTGTCACTGTGCTCAAGCTGATCATCACCGACGACATTTGTATATTTATTTATTTATTTTTTCTTTCTTTCTGTATATATTTTTGTAAGTTATTGTATAGTATATGTTTAGATTTATGTATGTCTATTGTATCTTATTTGGTATATATTAGTATATTAATATTATACAAAAATACAACATATTTCTTTAGTTTATTTAAATGTTAGTATGTACGTTTATCATTTACACCACCTACCGCTGTCCAGACTAAAATATTTTTAACCACAAGGTTGTCTGGAAGAGATCGCTCCTTAGCGATAAGACCGCCCTATTGTATAAGAGGTATAACTCTAAGTTTATAGTTCTGTAACATTTCCTTTTATGTTTTTTTGGTGTTGAATAAAGTATATATAATATAATAATATGTCAAATGCAGAGCAAAAAGATCGAGAAATAAAAATGAATGCTCCTAAAAACATACATTACTATTTATTATCTAATACCTTTAAACGAGCAATTCTTATATATATATACAAATATGTAGATAATGTAGATTCAGGGGCGAAAAATCGATCTAGCTAGGTTTCATTTTTAGAAAATGTCTTTTTAAAAGAACTAAAAATGAAAAATATTATTCGAATATGACGGTAAATTTCGCCGAAATAAAATGATAGCTCGGTCGTTAAGCGGGCGGCCCCGAAACAGAAGGCCGTGGTTCGTGTCACGATCATTTGCACACTTATTTTTTCACTTTCTTTTCGATTCCAGATCATTTTTTTCTTTATTTTTTATTTTTTGTTGATCCAGATGATTTTGTTATTTTTTCCTTTTTTTAAAGTTCTTTCTTTTGTGAAAAACACCAGTTCATATTTTCTTATTATTACGTCGGTAAGATCGAAAAATATTATGCATATTTTATTACTCAGTAATTTGTATCTAAATGTAATTTCCAAAATACATGATTTACCAAAAAAAAAACATCCTACAGGTTCTTTTAGTTAAACGCACAACCGCATCGCATGATAAAAATAATTAAAGTAACTCTTTATAACGTCGTACCTTATAACGAAAAACTCTATAACCTAGAAATTAGTTCAATTTGGTTGGTTTACCACGAAACATGTCAGTCAAAGAATAATTTACCTATTTATAGTAAGTAATAAAATTACAAATTATTGTGATTGGTTAAATTTGGCTTATTTTTCCCTTCCTCCGTATAACGAAAACTTTATACTGAAAAAAAATGCTCGCTCCCTTGAAATTAGTTACACGAGCTTACACTGTATTTCGATATATATTCTAGACATCTTTATACGCCTTCACTCTCTGATCTAAATTTTTACATTTTATTATGTATATCAGCTGTTCCGTTTCCGCGAGTAACGTTTCTGCTTCGCCCAATATGTGCGCCCCCTATAGCGTGATGTTAAATACCATATACCTTTCCTCACGAATCAGACTATCAAATTCAAAAAGATTTTATCAAATACCACTGCTAGTTCCAGAGATTAGCCCATTTAAATAAACAAACAAACAAACTCTTCAGCTTTATTATAATATAGTATGGAAGTGCGTATTTTGTCTAGATGCTAAAAATTTAAATAATATTTTAACAACTTATTGAAGTTGATCATAACCATCCAAACCAAACACTCCCCACAAAAGCTACCGTTTACCGGCCAAACTATTGTGGTCTGCAGTTGTGTGATATATCAATATTTATAAAAATGTCAATCTCGGTTTCGATTTATCGATATTTTCTTATTGGGCCCTCTTGTCAAAAAAAAACACGTATGTCAAGTATTAAAAGTTCGAATCTACGGACTCTTTGCCGGATTCGAATTTGAAAAAATACCGTTTTTGCTACGATTCCCATATTGAATATTTTATGTCGATATATCGGATCAAAAAACATCGTTATATTTAATCAAAAATATCGATATATCGATATTTTTTCGATATCCCTAGTTCATTTCCCTTTCAAAGTCAACTTGACAGCGGTCCATATAGGTTGGCCGTTTTAGGGGTGTCTAGCCTTGGCCCTGTTACAACTAGGTCGGAGGCTCGATCGTGCCGAATGGGGGAAGTGTTTACACTGCGTCGGCACTCCTCGCGAAAACGTCGCGCCGTTATCTGCAAACAAATGGCCCGCACGGGTTCTGTTTGGGCGACCGTCTTTAGGATTTTATTGCGATGTGATCTGTAAGGGAGCGAGTGTTTACAATTCGCATTTTGCTACCATGTTTAAATATGCGGAGCGGAGTTTCGGTTTACTCATCAGCCGTTACGTTTGTTACTTTCGTACTGCTTTGGTCGCTTATCTGAGTGAAAGATTTGTTGAAAAGCTTTCATAAACGAACTATCTAACCTCATTAGCAGTGTGGTGCACCTTGCCGACGAACCGCCTAGAATGACGACCCGCCAATCGGACCAAACCCCATATATCCGTTTAGAGAGAAATGGGAAGATGTTGTCGATCATTAGTCGTCAGTCTCGTATTTAAAAAAAAAAAGGCAGATGGAGAAGACCTTTGCGTAGTTGTAGGATGATCCAATTTGATCAAATAAGTATAGTAATTATTTTAATCTTTGCTCCCCTCATGATAAAAATCAATGTAGTATTAGCTCATTGAGTGCTGAACTTACCAATAAGTCATAACAAACGCTGCGAAATTAACTGCGGCATTAAGTTATCATACAAACCGGCAGTCACCGGTGAAGCTTTACATAGGCGGAATTCTAAATAGATATTTCGATACTTACTTCAATTACCACTAATTTCAACCGACTACAAAAACGGAGGAGGTTCTCAATTCGACTCTATTTGTTTTTCTTTTTTTTATGTTTGTTACCTCAGACCTTAAGACTGAGTGAACAGATTTTGATGATTATTGATGCTCCCATATGAATTTCATTGGTATTGGATCTTGGGCGCCGGTGATACTTGGGGAACTCCTGAAAATCAATTGTAAAATGATTACAGATCGAGGCATTTGAAGACAGGTAATTCTCCTTTGCAAATATAGAACTTACCGGAGTATATCAACCACCTGAAACCTACAAATCCTGATAGTGTCCATGATTGGGATCGATATTCTTCCGCAGACGAAGGCGGCGGGAGTTCAGAGTCGCGATCGGACAGCAGCGAGGACGAGGTGACCGAACACGTCCCCAGGGCCGCGCCCTCCGACAACATGGCGGCTGCTAGGGCGCAGGTACGAAGTCATCTCAGGTTTCCTGAAATAAGACTTTTATGGCCCACCAAATATAATGTGTTCGAGGCCGTCAACGGATATCCCGAACATACAAGTACAGCTAACAAGACGACAAGCAAAAGTATAAATTATAATCACTATTAACCCATTAACTTGTGAGGATGATACTTTTCTGGCCGAAAGAAACTCATTGACAGCAGAAGCCACCGCGAGCCGCAAACGCATTTCGTCACTATTTTTCTGATGATTCTGATTGTCAAATAAAATGTGTTCAAGGAACAAAGCTGATGACTCCGTGGCGCAGTCGCCAAGGTATCGGCTTCGGCGTCGGTGGTCGTGGGTTCGATTCCCACACGGGACAACTATTTGTGCGACCCACAGATGGTTGTTCCGCATCTGGGTGTTTGTCCGCGTGAAATTTATTTTTGTAAAAACGTCCTTACAACACAGGATAATGTTATCCCAAAGTAAGGGCAATGTTTATAAAAAAAAAAGAAAAGAAAAACAGCTAAACAATGAACGGTCTTGGACATAGTAACATACCTTGAGGCACTCCGGTATTATACATTACTGATGTTGCTTAAAATTTACTTCATTATTTTGTCATGACAAACTCAATCGTAACAGGTGCCGACGATCAGCGTGACTCCGCACAGTCCAGGCGTATTAGACGACAGTTTGCAGCAGTTGCGTAGACTGAACGCGGCTGTTCAACGCATGAGAGCAGCGCCTCTACCTTTACTGGTAAGTGCATCTTTTAATCTCTTCTTCTTCATCATCTTCAACATCAATATTATCATCATCATCATCATCCTACCCTTATCTCACCTTTATGGGGTCGGCGCAAGATGTGAGTAAAATAATGTTGTAACGTAGGCTAGTTTATTGACGACTGGTTGTCTGCCTGACGTCAGCCTCCTTGGGTAACAAACACCCTTACAATCCATCTTTCCAAAGTTTTCATAAGTCCAATTTTTAGGTCCGAACTTATTGGAAGGGTGGGTATTTAAAGTGATAGTAACATTTTTTTTTTATTCTATGAAACTCGCTTATCGATTCCATCTTGGATGCAGACGAGCACTAAAAATGTTTGACTGGGAAATTTGTATTAAAAACAAGTTGTTGACACACGATTGTCAATATCATTTGGCCACTAAACGACGCGACATTTCGAATTTGTATTGTTTATGGACATGGTCGTTTCATAAGTGATCGAAAGTCAACATGAATATGGACCATGTAGGTAAGATGACACGCATTTCGCCCCATATCGTGGCACCCAGAGCTTATGAAGTCATGATAGTGACTCAGTCCAACTCTCTGTGGGGACTAAGCCTAAAGTTACTCTCGTTATTCCTGCTCCCAAGGCCACAGGCACTAGCCGTCTGAGCACATCGTGCCCCTCCCTTTGCAAGGATGGAGTCGTCGAGCCGGAATGTTCCTCACCAACTCATCTCGACTTCTACCCGCAGAGTCGCAAGGGAAGCGGTGAGTATTCGACATCTAAACTATATTTATTATAATATAATATTATTAACGGACCGGGCAGACTTTGCCCTGTACACGCGACTTAAATCCGATAACTGAAAAAAACATCACTAAATTCGGTGCAGCCGTTTAGCAGGAGTTCAGTGACATATATATCTACAAAGATGAAGAGGAAAGATTTGATTTCTTCTTTGTTTCTTTGTTGCGATTTACTCAAAAACTACTCGACCGATTTTTTAAATTCCACCACCATTAGAAAGTTACATGTTTACCGAGTAACATAGGCTATATTATATTTAAAAAAAAATAGATATTCGTACCTAAAATGGAACAATGTAACCCACGGTATTAAAATATGCCTTTAAAATACATTATTTTGCGTGCACTGCGAAAACTATTAACGATACATAAAATAGTGTTCTAGCAGGATGATTTTATAGACGACGGACATATTAACGAAGCATATGAAGAATTTGATTCTAAATCTGAATCTGATGACTACTTGTGACCTCGTTTCTTTTTTTCAAAGATTATTTTTAATTTGTTCAAACATTATAGACACCCTGTTAGAAATACCTGCCTTACCGGCTCAATACAAAAATCTGTTCACGAGCACTAAAACTGTTTGCTGAACGCATAATTACTAAACCGCTTATCAATAGAGTGACCAGTCTTAACAGGATAAACAAATATTTTTCTGGTTATTTCTAGTCAAAATAAAATATTAATATTTTTTTTTAATTATGGAATGCTCAATTAACATTATGTCGAAGTATGTACTTCGTCCAAAAAACGACCCTTAAAATTATAGTGCTCATGTTTGCTTATAAATAAGCTATATTAAAATACGGGGTTAAAACCCCCTCTCTCTCAAAGTATTCTCACGGGAACGGGAACTACGTGGGTGAAATTAATATATAATTATATCATACAAATTAGCCGAACTATCACATTATTTTGCGGACGAAGCCGCGGGCGAAGTGCTACTATCGCATAAGCCCGTTTACATTCGTCAAAACCGAACCCGAGTTGATTCATCAATACAAGATACTCCGAAATACTACTAGCACAGTCTAAAACAGTTCCACGCGACTTTTCGAAGCGACACCTATGGTCAGCATAGAAAACGGTCGTAAACTCACCGGGAGTCGTCATCACGGAGTTGTTTTTGATACAGGGGACGCGCGCCAATGGGGCGGTTGGGGGGTGTGGGGGGCGTGGGAGAGGCGAGACGAGGGGCGGCGCAGTTCCTGGGCCGCCCTGGAACCTGGCGCTAGGCCGCCCGACGCGAGGAGGCAACGCAGGTGAGGTCGCCAGGGGAACTTGCAGGTGGCGTAAGTCATAGTATGCATTGGTGCCATTTATGTAGTTATTGACATACGGGTGCACCGGACGCGAGGAAGCGACTGAGGTAAGGTAGCCAGGGGAACTTGCAGGGGACATATCTGATGCTGGGGTGCTTTTTATGGAGTAAGTGGAAAACGAGTCACCGGACGCGACCGTGCGACAGAGGTAAGGCAGACAGGCGAACGGTTTTTTTTTAATCTGAAACTTGTCAAGCGATTACAATACATGTCACTGCTATTCAATCCGAGAAATTTCCTACTTGTGGCATCAATTAAGTATTTGTACCAATACGACCATTTTTATACCTTGAAGGCTGACGAAGCACTTATAATTTGATCAAAATTAAAATAATATTTCTTTGCATGACGTATTTAAGTATGGAGTCCAGTAGCAGGAGTATGTAGTAGGAGTCTAATGCTATGTTCCATTAAGTCCAATTTTCAAAGTATTGACGTGATGATAAATCCTTATGTCGTAACATTTTTTTTCAAAGTCGTAGAACAACATCAGACACAACATCACTCACTACTTGACAAAATAAGTGCATTACTGGATAGTCAACTGGAACATATGAAAACATCTATACTTTCAGATGTAACAAAAAACTGCCTATTGTAAGAATTTTAACGTTTCATTACTTTGATTCTACTATTGTAACTATTTCTGAACTTGAATATCAACAACTATTATAACGACAAACAGAACTAGTGGTTAACATCACCGTCCGGAAACGCTGCCGAAAAGCAACTGACCGCTGCTGCATGCTTCCATGTGTCCCTTCGCTCGAGTAGATGACGTCATATCCGGTGTACAGTGTTGCCAGCGACAACACTATGTAATAAGACGCTCACTTCAATTTCACAGCAACCTGAACGGGCACAGCGCTTCGTTGTCGTCGATGGAGTCGGAGAGCGAGGTGCCGAGACCAGTCCGTCACTCGACGCACTCCCTAAACGACAACGATCTCGCCGTGAGTGTTCAAAGTGAAAGCCAAAGTCTCCGCCTACAATTTCACCACTGTACTGATAGACGCCTCGCCGACGGCCAGTAAATAATAAGTAAAGAGGCTGGAGAGTAATACACTTTTACTGTCATGGACTACCCGATCTTTGATTAACCTCCCACTTAATGATGAGTGGCCATTTTTATACGTTGTTTTAACTGTCTCAATGGTCGATGGTACTAAAAAAATCGAAATTCGCAGTAACTCGAAATCGAATACAATCTGAAATGGGTCGTTCTTGCAATAAGAAATAAAAACCGGCCAAGTGCGAGTCGGACTCGCGCACGAAGTCTTCCGTATCTATAAAAACGGCAAAAATAGCCTCACCTAATTTTATTGTATTTTTTTAGTAATAGAACAAATACTAAAAAACAAACAATAGAAACAGAAATTCATCATCTGTGAAAATTTCAACTATTATAACATTTAACAACACAGAAATAAAAAAGACATATATATATGCAAATCATTTTACGGAGAATCCGTAAATGAAAATCACGTTTCCTCGCGGACGGCGTAGCATGTTTACAACCTCACTAGTTTAAGTTAAACACTTATCGAACAGAAGGACTTCGAGAAGGTGACCGCCGCGCTGCGGGCGGCAGCGGGGGGCGCGGGGGCGGCGGTGAACGGGGGGCGGTTGGCGGCCCGGCTGCCTCTACAGAAGTCCGTCTCTACGCCGAGCATCGTAGCGGCCGTGCAGCCGCCGCAGCCCGCGCCTCAGGCGAACGCGTGAGTGCTACGCCGACGGGCTACGATACACGCACACAGGCATTCACGCGCACTCGTCAAATGCGGTAGTGCGTCACTAGGATACGCACACACGCGCACTCGTCGAAAGCGCGAGCTCGATACTAGTATACGCACACTCACGTACGCGTCGAATGCGGGAGTGCGACACGGAGACACACACACGCGCACTCGTCGAATGAGGGAGCGCGACACTGGGACACACACACGCGCACTCGTCGAATGGGGGAGCGTGACACTAGGACACACACACACACGCGCACTCGTCAAATGCGGGAGCGCGACACTAAGACACACACACACACACACGCGCGCGCACTCGTCAAATGCGGGAGCGCGACACTAGGCATGCACATGCGTGCAAATTATAAAAACCCTCGTGAGCTAGACACAAATAAGATATTCTCACGCGAACATGTCTGCGACTAAATGTTTGTACATGCTGCGCGTGTGCGCGTCTGACACGCACACACGCTTGCCTTGCTATATTCGGTCACGTTACACACAAGTGCTTACGTGTACGCGGCGGGTATAAGGCAGGCTAAACTTGATTACGACAAGTGTGTATTGCCCTCTGGTTTTTTTTATGTGAAAAGTTGCCAAACGAGCTGACGGTTCACCTGATGTTAAGTGAATACTGCCGCCCATGGACATCTGCTACACCAGAGGGTTTGCTGATGCATTTTTGGAAATTGGGCTCCGGCTACCTCACTCACCAGACGAAGTATTTGTCATACTTCCACTTTATACCGGTCTTCTGTAAGGTCGTGGTACTTACCCGGACGAGCTTGCCCATTCGTGCAACAGCCGAGGCTACTGCGTGGCTCTACCACCGTTAGTGTAGTGGTGCGCGCCACCTTTTAAACCGCCTTCTATCTCGCTCTCACATGTTGTACAGTCGCGAACAACGACGGTTTTCGGTTTCTTGCTGCCATCTTTGAGCCAACTTCATTCTCCCGTCTATGTTTTGCAGGGCCCATACGGTACAATACACTTAAAAATTACTCATCGTCAGATTTCATGATTTTTGCGGTGACATTGTACACTTTAAACACTTGCATGTTTCGCTAAAGAGAGCTTCGGGCATAAATTTAATGAAAGGTATTTTCGTAAACTAAAAAATGTGCGTTCGCATTTACTTTAACGATGTGCTTACAAGATACGGGATGTTTTTGATTTTTAAATAGAGGTCTTAAACGTAATGAGCAGTGCAGATTAGCAAGAAAGCAGTACATTTAATTGCCAAATTACTTCCAAGTCCTTGTGAAACAGACATAATTTTGTAAAATAGGCCTTTAATCAAATGGTATAATGTTTGAAGTAAGCTTTGAGGTACTTATTTGTTGCTAATCTAAACTTTGTGTCACATCTCAACACTGAATATTATAATTGTAATTTTTTACTGTGCATGTGTGAAGTTTTCATTGCAATTACATTTATGTTGCACTGTTTCGCTTTCTGGTTATGTTCAGCACTGTACCAGTCAGAATACGAGACTGGTTATTCGGCGCACTTATGTTTTTGGCATATGATATTTTAAATATTGAAATAGGCAATTTTAATTGAGTCTAGTATAAGTTATATAGTACCTATATTTGGTACATAAAGAGACAGTACTGTCTACGTCAGATGTTAAAAAGAAGCATTGGGAAATAAATTCACGATTAAATCGTTCACGGTCAAAAGGAGGCCGAAGTTTCGGTCGTATCATCCAATTAGGAGCTCTAATCCCGAGCGATAAGGTCGCTTTTGGAACGCACGGTGATACGGCCCGCTTCGGCGCGTCCGCTGGCACGCATTTCACGTCCCGCTCGCTATCAGCCTGTCAGCCGGCGGTGCGAGCGAGACGGAGAGCGACGAAGATATGTCCGTCGCCACCGAGGGCGCTATCGGCCAACTGCCCGGCAGGCGGAACAACGCACACCAAGAGCACCTCGGACTGGACCGGCTGACGTTCTTGGAGCAGTGAGTGAACCCTGTTCAGTTGAGATAAGGGCCATTTTCCCCCGTCGGCCACCGACTATTTCGAACGTTCGATGATCCCGCTGCGGAATTGTTCTAGAAATGTCTATGATTTTTTTATACAATTTGGTGAGTAAGCTCTATTGCATTAGACTGAAGCTAATGGACAATTTTTTACACATGATACATTGACAAGTATCAAACATGTGTAGGAACAAATGTTCGATATTTGATTGTATGTGACATAGAGACACTATTTCTTTGAAATTTGAAGTTGTAGTGAATTCAAAATTTTAATAAACTATACATATGATTTTTTTTTCAATGGCATGTTCGACACGGCTTCGCTTAATGTTTTTTTGTTTGTATCACGAGTTGTTTTTTGGTTTTTGAGCACGTCAAGTTTATTTAGTATAAAATTTGCTGAACTAAACTCTATTTCGCATGCAATAAAGTTGTTTATGCTTTGACAGAGCCGCGTTCGACCATCACGCCGAGAAGAGGCGGAAACGGGGAAGTCTGTTCTTCCGAAAGAAAAAGGTGCGTTTATCGAAGATGTTTCTGGGAGCATAATTCATGTCGCTTTATATAATTGGCTTGAATCGAGGCAATGCAGAGCCTTCGCGGTGACCGAAGCTATGTGTACTATATTATTTCTTCAACCATTTCCCGATTACGATTGCAGTAAAGAAAATTAATAGCCTGTATATGTCCCACTGCTGAGCAAAGGCCTTACCTGTGCAGAGGGTATTAGGGTACATCTTATGACCCCACCGGGAATTGGCGGACTCCACATACTTTCGAAATATTTTTCTTTACTAGCACTCCGGTATGTGCAGGTTCGCTCACGACGTTTTCCTTCGCAGGAAAACACAGAGTGCCAGGAAGCCAATATCTGTCGCTTACGGTCATCAAACGCTTTAACAACTACCCTCCCGGCAGGACAAGTCGCGCAAAGCGGCGCACGTGTGGCAGGCGGCGGGCTCGGGCGGCCACTGCGACTGGTGCGCGCGCGCCGTCGGCGACAAGCCCGCCCTCTACTGCGAGAGTGAGACAGCTGCACAAATAAAATTCTCTTTCAACCCCGGTCGGCAGATATCGACGTGTGATGTTTATAGCAACCTTTACTGTGAGAGTGAGATAACTGCACGCTTTGTCTGTCCTCTTTCCGCCCCGGTTAGCGGATATCGACGCGTGATGTATAAAATAATATTTTCTGCGAGAGTGAGACAACTGCAAGCTTTGACTGTTCTCTTTCCGTCTACTGCGAGAGTGAGACAGTTGCACAGATAATATTCTCTTTCTCCCCCGGTCCGCAGATATCGACGTGTGATGTTAATAGCAACCTTTAATGTGAGAGTGAGATAACTGCACGCTTTGTCTGTCCTCTTTCCGCCCCGGTTAGCGGTGAGACAACTGCAAGCTTTGACTGTTCTCTTTCCGTCTCGGTCGTCAGATAATATATAGAAAATATTTGATTATATTTGATTATATTTGACGGCCCGATTGGCGTGGGGAGTAGTGACCCTGCCTCTTGGGCCAGAGGGTGTGAGTTCGATCCCCACTACTGGAAAAATATTGTGTGAGAATCTAGTGTTTTTCCAGTGTCTGGGTGTTTATATATGTAGTATATGTATTTATTTACAAAAGAAGAGTATGTTTAAGTAAGTTTATCAGTTTTCTAGTACCCATAGTATAAGCGTTGCTTAGTTTGGGACTAGAGAACGTTGTGTAAAAAAATGTGTCCGAAATTATTTATAATATTAATATTGTCCATAATATGGATTGATGTTAAAGCCAATACTTAACAGCTAATCCGGGCTAACGCCGAATTGTTGAAACTTCGCGTAACTAGTCTGCCTATTTTCTCCATCCAAATCCACGATGGGGAAAGCTCGACTTAAGTGACGGACATACTTCCATACACACATGTGTTCCTGGTTGAACTGTCTCACTTCCACAGACTAATTGATCGCTTACACTTGTATAAATTATTAAAAGTTAGTAATTTAAAAAAAAAAAAAGAAAATTACAGAATAGAAAACTCGTTCCTTTACTCTTATGTACTCCTAGTCGGTTTCGATTATTGTCTAAAAAGTTACGCAGGTGGTGGTAAGTAGGTATGTAAGCAAATATTGGAATGTCCTGTCCGCCGCAATCATTTTGACATTTTAGAGCTTCAGGAGATTTAAAATATCCAAATAGCTGTTAACACTAGAATTATTAATATTATCCGATCAATCAATCGGTTAATCCCACGGAGAATCAAAATTGAGGAATTTAGGAATGCTATTAAAAAAAGAAATTATACATTTCAGACTGCACGATGACCGTTCACCAGAATGTCTGCAAGGACTACATCGTGGAATGCAACAAGCCCAAATCGTCAAAGGTCTGTGTTTTTTTTATGTGAGAAGGTGGCAAACGGTGGCTGACTGTTCACGTGATGTAAAGTGATAACCGCCGCCCGTTGACATTAACACCCGTAGGGTGCAGATGCGTTGCCACCTTTTAATAATGTGAGTAAATGAGTGGGATATGTATATGAATACTATAGTAAATTGAAAGAATCTGTGTATATGGCCCACTGCTGTGCAAAGTCTGTACTCAGGCTATTAGTAAATCCGCCACGAGAGACCACACTGCCGTTTGGCGACTTCTACCTTCGGATCCCCCCGAGTTCCAGTTTCCCCTCCCGACGTTCTCCTTTACCTGGTGCGTTTAAAAATACAAATAAAAAAATATAGGTCATACACCAATTTGAACTTGATTTGAACTCCTACAAAATTATTGAAGTGAAACTTCTTACGCGGAGAATCGCCAAATGAACGAGAATGGAGAGTGAAATTTCAAGCCCATGCCAAAAGTGATACGTAATATCACTCGTGCGAACGTTGTAGATGTCGCATCAGACGCTGTATATTAATAATTATAGCAGAGCCAATTTCAACATATATTATAATTTAAAAATGTATTTATCACGTGCATTTTCTTTATTTTATACTATAATTAAATATTTATTTTATATTTATATAAAGTAATAATTAATTGCAAAATTTTCTTCATTTTTACAGACGTCAGTTGGCAAATCGCTGAGCACGAATAGCGGGAAAAGTTCGAAACGCAGCTCCGTTTCCGGACAATCGCAGAATGCCAACAGGTGAGCAACGTGACCACAGATCTACAAAAGAAATAAACCGGAAGTCTCATAAATACAGACAGATTATAAATAATAACGAATAAAAAACATCATTAAACAATGAATCATGCTTTAGAATTTTTTGATATTGATTTGTATGGCATATATTTTGCTGCTTTTTTTAAAATGTCGCAGTCGATTGCGCCGCTCCAGAGGATTTTACGTTGACGCATTTTTGGATTTGTGTTGCGCGCGATAATGTTAAGGATGCCGTTGGATTTTGCGAGCGTAGAGTCCATTTTCGCTTGCGGTTGGACCGTCGTCTGCATTTCTCATAAAGATGTCCTATGACGAAGATACACAAGTATGTGACAGTGCTTGCGCGGGAAACGTATTTATTTCAACGTCCACTGTTTTGTCTTCTAAACTTTTGACCGTTTTGCTTTGTATCATTGCCAGTTGTGTTCACTCGTTATCCGGCCCTATTGTTTGTTGCTCCACCCTTCTCGGTAAGCAATTTTTTTTTTGTTTTCACTTCTCGATCAGTTATGTCCTCCCTCCCGACGTAGCGTTTGAAAAAAATGTCCGAAAGTTCGCCCGAAAACCCGCCCAGAGTTAAGCAGTATGGCTACTATACGTGACGTGCAAAAGTTGCGAAGATTTAATTACTTTTTCCGTTTGTTTCTCTATCTGTATGAATACAGAATTATATATACTGAATATTTGTTCAATAAAACTATTTCGTGAATCTCATCTTATTTTGATTTTACACTACCGATGTTTCGAGAAATTCACAGCATCCGTGGTCAAGAAACAGATATTCAACGCTTTTATTTATATCTGATCCACTTTTCAATGAAAATAACTCCGTAATGAAATAGTTTTATTCAACAATATGCGGTATTCGCTTCAATATAGGAAATGATCGACTTATTTTTTTTCTAAGGACACTAGAATAGAAAAATGGCAACCCTTAAACTCATAAAACCTTCTTTCTGTCTGTTATTAACCAACTGTTAAAGAATATCAAAACTTCCAAATGTACCAGGCGAACATGACATTCAGGGTTCGTTGTCGCCTTTATTGGCTTTTGCTAGTGACGTATGTACCGCGCTCTCACGCATACTCGTAAAGTTGTGTATAAACGCACACATATGTACACGTGTGTTCGTGTCCGCTCACGCACACAGCAAGAAGCTGACGACGGGATGCTACTCGCCGTGGCGGCGCGTCGCGACCAAGCTCGGCGTGCAGTAAGTTTGCGGGAATGCCTCTATCTCTCTCATCCGCACACTCACCGTCATCGTCTCTCTCTCTCTCTATCTCTGATCACCTGCGCCGCAGCTCTGTATTCCTGGTCAATGGCGGCGGTTGATTTCTTCGTTTTGATTTTTTTTCTTACTCTAGGTTCGTTTTTTTTTATTCGTAGTAGGTTTTATTTTGGTTGTTTTTTTTTTCGCTTAATGGCCGTTCATTTAAAAATGACTTTTTTTTGTTGTAAAAATTAGAGGCACTTTGTTTCATAAACTTCATTTGTTCGCCATTTACGAATTCGGTTTTGAAATAAATTGTTATTTCTTTCTTTCTTTGCAAATATTGTATAACAACTCGGATATTCGAAAAATAACCGTCTGAACCCGGTTTTCTTACAAACGCTAATTACTCTTGTTTGTTAACGGTTAGATCCATCAGTCTTGGGAAATCATTTTAAATATCGATCCCGAAATGGAACATAGCGATTATATGCAAATAAACTTCGAATTTACACGTAGCTTTTAATTTAAACAAATTTGCTTAATTAAATAACAAATGGTTTTCAATACTGCCCATATAATCTTAAATTTAGAGCATTTTTTATTTAGGAAAGTTTGTTCGAATACATAACAATATAGTATACCACATAGGAATTTAAACTCAGGACTGGAAGACAGGTTCAGTCTATTTAGTTTCTATTTATCCTTTCAATATCAAAGTGCCTCTAAGGATGTCGATAGCAAAACTGCGCCGTCGTCGTCTATTCATTAAGCATTCGTTACAGAGACTCTTCTAGATCGTTCTCGTATCATCCACAACGCCTTACTTGTGTATCTTTCTATCTATTATGGAGGTAGTGTTGGAGTTTCTCTCGATTAAAGAGTGTTGTCGTAGATTGGTTCGCATTAAGATTTTTGTTGGTGACAGTTGTTAAGCGACAAAAACGGGAGTTAAATAGGAGTTAACGTTTAAACTGGTTTTGATTCCGTTGACGAAAACTTAATAGTGTAAGTTTGTTTTATCGCCGAAACGTTTCCGTTTTTTTATAGTTATTTTTTGATTGTTAAACGAAACTGTTTTACGAATTTTATCGCGTTTGATTAGAGTAGGACAAGTAGAACAAGACATCAATGAGACAACAAGACATCATCAACATTATTGTTGATTTCTCAACGAATAAAACACGCTATTGAAAGTTTAAAAAAAAAATATCAGCTCCCTTGTTGTTAGTGTACGTTGTCTTACAACAATGGTCAAACAGTGATAATATTTATTTCAAATATAACTATAGTTATTGCTATTGAAAAGGAACAGGATCTAGGCTTTTGGAAAATTGGTGGACATAAACTTGACCAATCATCATTTATAATTTATTTTAAATTCTTTGTATATATTCTTTTTTGAGATAAATTAAATAACTAATAATAAATAACAAAAATACAATACAAATGAAAAGACTATCAATTTGCAGATTATTTATTACTATTTTGTTTGAATTTGATAGGGTAAACAAGCTAAAATTAAATAAGTATATGTTCTGTCGTTGACTTTAAACACTGGTTTTTCTCCGTACAAGGGGGCGCAGGTAAAAAGTCAAGAATAAATTTTCTCTTTGTGTACTCGCAAAATGACTTTATAATATACAGCGTGTCGTTACCATCGCGACAATAAATGAACACACATATAGGGGATAACTTTTTAAAGTTGTATTAAACATTTAAATTCTTTAAACATCAATATTTACAGAGTTATTAAATTTTCCAAAACAAAGAATTTTAGAACACCCTTACCTATAAATGGCCTTGGCTACCTTGGCTTTGCATGTCAATAACAAGCAGTTACATAATACTGTGTATTTTAGGATTATAGCTTAGGACAGTGATTCTCAACCACTGTGCCGCGGCACTTTTGTGTGCCGTCAAATTTCAAAAGTGTGCCGCCAAATTTTGCAAATATATAATAATGTTAATATTATTAAATTATATCATTTAAAAAGAAAAATATTTTTAATATGAATATATTATACTTAAATCCACAAAAAAATTAATTATTTTATTATTTGCTTTGCAACGGGTTTTTTCTTAGTGCCAAATTATGATGAAGCGGCGTGCATAGCAATAGGAATATGTCTCAAGTCGGCGCACACTTGCCACTTCTGCGTACAAAACGTGTTGTTTTAGTGATAGTTGGGATTCACAAGGTGTTGCATAGTAGTTAATGCACCTTTTCTTTCGTTAAAATTGACAAATGTATGTGATTCGTTTTAATATTGATTTATTTGCATGTAGTGTCAATTTATAAATTTGTAAACTTATTAACTTTGCAGTACACCTATCCCCCGATTTACACGGTACTTGTTTTACACGTTTTCGCTTTTACACGGTTTTACAAATAAGTTTTTTTTTTTTGTTTTTATCGCACTCTACTAAATGCTACTGTGATGGAACACGTGCGCTGTGTACACATCTCACGGGGAATCCCGAGCTTATGTGCTGACTTGCTGCACACGCACACTGTATCTGTATTTCTTCGCGTATATATTATTCGTAGTATATATAAGTTTATTTCCTATATTTAAAATTTTTGTCATAAACTATTTATGCAGTAAGTAAATAATTTATATCTTTTTCTTTGTGTGCCGCCAAATTTTGAAATCGTTAAATATGTGCCGCAACAAAAAAAAAGGTTGAGAATCACTGGCTTAGGGTGAGGGTTTACTCGTGAAACTACATACAGCGTGTCGTTACAACCGCAACAATAAATGAACACGCGTCTAACGCTACTTGCCAATAAGCATAAACAAATGTAAAACGATAAAAAATACACAATTAAAAAATATATTTTTTTAAACAAACTAATTACTAAACACAACAACTAAACAAATTAAAAAAGACACAAAATTTGTAACACCTATACAACTACAACTGACTGATTCATACATTCAGACACTTTTTCATTCGTTGCCGCAGCGTCGCATTACAAATCTCTCCTTCTAACGGGGATGTTTTATCCCTTTCAAATTCTTTCAACCCATCATAATGCTTTGTGACCTTTACAAATGAACTTTACGTTACAGTTTTATACGTAAGGGTGTTCTAAAATTCTTTGTTTTGGAAAATTTAATAACTCTGTAAATATTGATGTTTAAAGAATGTACATGATTAATATAATTTTAAGTTGTCCCCTAATTGTGTATTGATTTATAGTCGCGTTAGTATCGACACGCTGTATAAGTATTATCGTCCGTTTGGATTTCGTCAAAACGTTTACGGGAAAAAAATCAGAACTGTAGAGCATATTACGAATGACGTTAGGTTCTTTTTAGATGTGAATCAAATTAGTTCTCTCTTTAAAGTGTATTTTTTCTCTATCGTTCTAATAATGTCGCTTTTTTCTTTTTTATACTTTTCAAAATTAAAAGTTAAATTTAAAAATTAAAATTAAAATTAAAACCTAACAACGAACACTGGCTGTCAACTGACTCCTCTTTAGCTCTTTTGTACGCTGATTGTTTTGATTTCGATGAAAATTGCTCATGACGTCATCATCATGTTGTTTATTTTTTTATTTCTCTAATCGAAACTCTGCATGAGGTTTATCTTTGCGTTGAAATTGTGGACGTGTCATTACGCTTTTTACTATTATTTAGCCTTTGCTGCGATTAATATGAGTGTACTGTTTATTTTTTATAATGGCAACACTGTTAAACTGGTAATAAAAGTTTTGCCGTTCCGTTTTACACGTTTATTTACCCGCTTTCGTTTACAGCGAATCGAAGAAAGCGGTTTTATTCGACCCGATGTCGTGTGTAAAGTCGGATGAACCGTGACCTTGTTTATCCTATGTATTAATGTGGAGGTCACACGGAATAGTATACGAGTGGATTTTTGACCAACTTTATGACTAATGTCCGTAATATAATACCTGCAATTAATGGTTACGTTGCAATACTGGTAGTGGTACCAACTGTTAAAAGAATACCAAAGCAAATCATAAACCCACTAAAACCCCCTGAAATTCACTAAACGTTTCTCATTTTGGAAGCTTTGGTTATAATTTACCTCCAAAAAACTTCGATTGTAAATTTTTTCTTCCTAATTTTAGGCAAAAACGCCTAAAGTTGGCGTGAAGACAGGTGTTATTGGCAAAGTCAAAATGCTTTGCTGCGGCCACCCTAATTTTCTTTAATTGATATGCATATTGAATCCTATCAACACATATTTAAGACTGAACCTTGCAAATGAATTTGATGCTATTGTGCTAATTGGTGTCTCTGTGGGTAATTTTAGTGGTCTTAAATTTATGGCTTTGTAACCATAAGTATATTACTGTCTTTCTAAATGTTTATGTTCAAGAAGTCTTCTTGTAAAAACTTAAACTTATTTTTATTGGTACATTTAAACTGAACAGTGCCCAAAAATATATCCTCTTTTTAAGATCGTCGATCAAATTCGTATGGTCATAGAGCCCAGGAACATATTATAGAACAAACTTGTATACTATTCTGTGTGTACTTAGTACGTGAATATTTTTTATGTGACATACTTAATAAAAGTTCTCCTCTACGCGTTTCCAGCACCGGCGTCTACGCGGATGACAAAGATGGCTCCGACCACAAGCACGATCAGAGCAAGTGAGTTATTGACACATTTATTTATTTAAACAGGCATACCAATTGAATACATAATACAAGTCAGTTCTTTTACTAACAAAAAAATAAAAACCGATTTTAATATTTCGCTCTGCATCCATTTTATAATTGATTTTCAGGAGTTACCTACGTATATTGGGAGCCAATACCAATGAAATTAATATGGGAAGCACCAGCTTTCAAATACAAAAAGGATCATCAAAATCGTGTCACTCAATCGGTAGTTGTGTAACAGTGTAACAAACATAAAAAAAATACAGTCGAATTGACAACCTCCTTCGTTTTGGAAGTCGAAAAACAGTTATTATTCTGATGTGATTCATTTAAAAATTAAGTTTAACATTGTACATATGAATTTAGATTAAAGGTAAACACAACATCGTATAAAATACTTTATTTAAGGAGAACAGTAAACTACATACCTATCACTAAAATAAAATGTGAAAACTAGAATGAAAAAAAAAAAAGAAACAAAAAACTTTTAAAATGAAATAATTATTGGGTTGTGAAATGCGCTAGCACCTTTGTCTTTAAAACATTTTATACGAGTAATAATATGAATCTTATCCTTTAAACAGCGATTTTCATGACATTTAGTATGTGCGTAGATTCGGGGGCGAAAAATCGATCTAGCTAAGTTTCATTTTTGGAACATGTCCTTTTATCCCTGTTTTCAGGGAATGATCGTATCGTAAATTTCGCCACAAAAAATTTTTATGATAGCTCGGTCAGTAATCGGGCGGCCCCAAAACAGACGGCCGCGGTTCGTATCACGATCATTTACACACTTGTTTTTTTTTTACTTTTTTTTCTATACCAGATCATTTTCTTTATTTTTTTATATTTTTATTTCCAAAATACATGATTTACCAAAAAAAAAAACGAGCAAAGCTCGGTCCTCCAGGTACTTAATCTTTAATGCTGATCCATCTTACTTGGTGGGTGCACTTGTGGTAATGTCGTCTTCATTCCTCCTCCCCTTATAGTTGTACCATAGGTGGGGTCGGCACATGCATACATAGTATATACATATATATACAGGGTGGCTTTTCTAAGTGTATGCATTTTTTTAATTAAATTCTAGACATAAATAATGTTATATAAAAATGATAAATATTTATCACTCGTAAATAATTAATTACATTCATTTGAAGTTATCTCAAAAAGTGCGTGATTTATAGGCAACTCATTTATTTTACTCGACGACCAACCACTATGTTCATAATACAATATTTTTCCAGTAGAGGGGATCGAACCCTCACCTTCTGGCGGGAGATGCAAGCTCACTACCCATTAGGCCAATCGGGTCGTGATTTTGTGTTGTGTCGAACGAAAGAAAAAAAATACATTTATTTACCAAAAAAGGAATACGTATACAACAAAAGAGAAAAAAAAAAACTAAGTTTAATAAAAATGCTTTTAAATAATACAGTGAGGCAAAAGAACATAAACACATAATTGAAATATAAAACCAATGAAAATAACAAACAAAAAATATTGTACGCCCTATTTCGGTAATTTGTTGTTGGGCTATAATGGTCTTTATAGTAATAAACTTAACGTTCATTTTCGCAGTGCGTCCGACGACGCCGGCGCCACCGAATGGGCGGAGGTGTACATAACGGCCGACCAGCTGGGCGAGGAGGCGATAGTCCTGGGCCTTGGCGCTTCGGAACCGGACACGTGGGCGGCAGGCGCCCCCAAGGGGCTCGCCAAGTGAGACTTTGTTTTTCTTTTTTTTATCTGTAGCCGGTGTGGCAACAGTATACATATTTATACAATTTAGATCAAAGAAAAAAAAATGGATCTAACATGTAGACCTATAAGAGGGATAACAACAATTACAATATTGTGACAACGCTTACAATAAATTATGAATAAAAAATTAAATAAAAAGCATAACCTAAACTACGATGAAATGAAAAAAAAAATCAACTAACTCTGAAGGAAGAGTATACTAGTGAAATAGTTTCAGCACTTTCTTTTTGAAAAAAACACTGGTATCAAAACATACAGTCATTTGTCGCTTATGTGGGGTACGATCTAGGGAAGGGAACGCACCGGTGTCCCTCGGTGCTATGCGTCGGACGCCTCGGAGAAGGATAAACCTTCCGCGATTCAGCCCGAGACCACTTCGTACTGCCGCAGTCGGCAGGGATACCTTACCCCCTTTCTTTTTTTTTTTTTTTTGATTGCGGGTCTTCCACGCCTACAAAGAAGATGAGGTTCTTACCTACTAAAACTGTCCGCGATACTCAGCCCCCCGAGACCACTCGGTTCCCTACCATGCAGCGCTCGAGACCACTTCGAGCTCTTCCAATCCGTGTCCCCTTTTAGTCGCCTTTTAAACAGGGGGATACCTTACCCATATTCTATAAGCCCGATAGAGGGGAGCCCTAGTCGCGATAGACTACAGGGCTGCGCCAAGCGAGAGCTATCCCCTTTTTGGCGGTGGCAGGGCCACGCAACAGCCTCTTCTATCGCACGAATGGGCAGGTCCGTCCGGGGAACTGATACGACCTCGCCGAAGACCGGCGTTAATGGGAAGTGTGATACTTCCGCGTTTCGTCAGGTGAGTGAGGTAGCCGGGGCCCACTTTATTGTAGGGCGGCGACGCATATGCAACCCTACGGGTGTTGCAAATATCAATGGGTGGCGGTTATCACTTAACATCACCGCCAGCTACTTTGCTACCTTCTCACATAAAAATATATATATTTATTTTACCGTTATATATTTATTTATTTTATTATTTTTTAATTAATTTGACTCCGTGGCGTATTGCCAAGGTTAATACTACACAAGGGAAAACTTTTTGTGTGACCCATCCTTCGCTGTGCCCTTACAACACAGTATAACTGTTATCGCAAAGTGAGACCTTCCACGTAATATAGTTATTTATTTAAATACTAGCTTTACCCGAGCACGTGCTTACGCACTTAAAATTAACAATTTCAATGGTGCCCGCACCAGGCGTTGAACTCAGGATGCTCGGATCTAGAATTAAAAGCGAGCTATCACGCTCTTCGTTCTTATCGCGTGCTCAGCGGTGAAGGAAAACATCGTGAGGAAACCTGCATATTTTCGAAATTGTGACAAAAAAAAATTCGATGATTTGTGAAGACCAAATCCGCAGTGGGGTCGCGTGGCTGGACAAAGGCCTCTGTTCAGATTCCTTTGCAGTAGGTCAATTTTTTAAGCCTCTACTCAGGGATTATGATGGATATACAGAAATATAGTCTCAATAGTACACTGGTTTATTAGCAACTGGTTTTAAAACGGCCTTTCCTATGATAAATTGGTACACACACATGCAGTATGCATCAATTTAATTAATGTTTTTTTTTTATTTTGTATTAATTTTATTCCATTGCAGATCGCTCGGAGACAGGGAGACCAAACGCCAAGAGCACATCTACGAGCTAATACTGACTGAGAAACATCACTGTCTCACAATTAGGCTCATGCAGAAGGTCAGTACTTTTCTCTATGACTAATAAAGTTACCATACTATATTTAAGGTTTCATATTTTACGTATATGTTGAGATCATGACTTACATGGAAGGGTAGTGGTATCAAATTGAAATGTATTACACATTCACAGCCATCCAATTTTTTTTATTATATAATATGTCCTTATTAAGTTATCATTAGACACGAGTATCCTGGTTTTGCGTCGTTAAGTTAAAATAGCCGTTATCGTATTGGTGCACAACGTAAAGTTATCGTATTGGTATATAGCATAAATCTCTATAGTCTCAGTTTAACTGTTTCGTTTGGTGCGTAACATTGTGATTCATCGGTTCTTACCGGATATACTCATTTCACTCGGTCACCGGTCGACTCTCTCGCTCGCATTCGATTCGTTTGCTGTGAGTAGTGTAGGTAGATGAGTGGAAAGAACGAAATAGATGTTAGTCTGATTGATAGTTATCGTTGGAGCCGTTTCTTCTAGTATATCACAAAGATATGTTTAATAATAATAATCATGTACTTTATTGTACAACAAAAAATAAAACACTACAGTAAAAACATAATATTTATGCAAAATTGGTCATCAAAAGGCGATTTCATTCAGACAATTTCAGAAAACCAAACGGAATTTTTAATGGGATAGGATATACATGAACACATACCTCTTGTGAGTGATTATCGAATTAAGAGTAAAATAAAGAGGGAGGGAGAGAGACATCGAAATATAGGGAGAAGCTAGACAGACAGATAATACTCCCTAATCTGTCCTGAAAAAGAGTCTTTTTTCGGTGGTAGGGCCACGCAGCAGCCTCGGCTGTTGCACGAATGGGCAGGCTCCTCCGGTCAAGTACCACGACCTCGCAGAAGAACGGCGTAAAGTGGAAGTATAATACTTTCGCTTTTCGTCTGGTGAGCGCGGTGGCCGGAGCCCAATTTCCAAAAAGGTTGTCAACGCTTTGTCGGAGGGTGCCTCCGGTGTAGCAGTTGTCCATGGGCAACCGTCAAATAAGGGCTTGTTTCGTATGCTCTGGCCGCCGGCGCAGATGTTCGCGGAGGGCATGGCGCGCGCGGGCGGCGTGTCCGCGGCGCAGGTGGCGCGCATGTTCCCGCGGCTGGACGAGCTGTGGGCGCTGCACGCGGCGCTGCTGGCGCGGCTGCGCGCGAGGCAGCGCGCCGCGCCGCGCGTGCCCTCCGTCGCGGACATCCTGGCCGACGCGTTCGCGCCGCCGGCGCACCAGCGCCTCAAGGCGGCCTACGGTACGTGGGGGATCGAGGCGGCTCGAGGTGCCTCGAGTTGGCTCGAGGTGCCTCGAGGCGGCTTAAGGTGGATTGAGGCGGCTCGCAGGGGCGTAAGGTGCCTCGAAGGGGCTTAAGCTGCCTCACCTTACTCACTCACTTAACTATGGTAGGACGACGCAACCGTCTTTTCTGTTTCACGAATGGGAAGGTCCGTCCAGCAAAGACATCAAGTCCATAAAAAGACGAGTTATAAATGGATTTCGTTTTATTCTATTTGAAGTAAATGTATTCTGACTCCTAATTTACACAAAACTTTGTTATCTCAATACTTTTATTTTTATTTTATACCAACTTATAAAAGCCAGAAGTGGTTAAACAAAAACCGATCATACTATCACAGTAATAAGATTTCACACCGATTTCGCCCTGATCATAGGTGAATTCTGCTCCCGACACCGCGAGGCCGTGGAGGTGTTCAAAGAGTGCTGCACGAGGGAGCCCCGCCTCGCCCGCTTCATACGCAAGTGCCAACAGAATCCGCTGCTCAGGAAAAAGGTGCGATCGATAGACCAATTAATTTGGAGGCGACGAGAGAATGCTCTAAATCAGGGGTGAGCAACCTTTTTAATCAATGGGACAATTTTAATTTCAAATTTTTTTGGCGGGCCGCACATCACAATTTACGAAAATTTTTTTAAAGTAAAGATTTCATATACAATTTTAAAGCAAGGTAAAAACAAGAAAACAAGAAAAGAACAGAAAAACGAACAAAAAATATTTCGGTTCAGTATTTACTACCATTTTATTATAATTAATTTTATAACAATAAATTGATGAGAGAAATTCGATAAAATAAATTCAATTTTAGAAATGGTTGGCGGGCCGCATAAACATGTTTAAGGGGCCGCGCGTTGCTCATCCGTGCTCTAAATCATGCTTTCAGCAACGCAACGGTCCTCAATGTGGATATGAACACAAAACTTTGCACTAAAATACAATACTCTCATATCATATCGCTACATTGTATAAAACAAAGTCGTCCCGCTGTCTGTCTGTCCCTATGTATGCTTAGATCTTTAAAACTACGCAACGGATCTTGATGCGGTTTTATTTTAATAGATAGAATGATTCAAGATTTAATACTAGCTGTTCCGTGCGAAACGTTTTTGCTTCGCCACCGTTGGTGGTAGCGTGACGTTTAACATCCTATAACCTTCCTCAAGAATTAGCAATCAAATGCCAAAAGATTTTTTTAAATCCGACTGGTAGTTCCAGCGTTTGGCACGTTTACAAAAAAAAAATTCAGGATTTTAATATTAGTATAGATTTGCATGGAGCACCTTATCCCGCCGACATAAGGTGCAATTTCCTTAGCTCAAGCAGCAATTGACGTTGCCAGGGCGTGCCGGAGTGCGTTCCGTTCGTGGCCCAACTCCTATCCAAGTAACAATTTTCCATCAGCCAAATACAGACTATTTGCATGAAGCACCTTATCCCACCGACATAAGGTGCAATTTCCTTAGCTCAAGCAGCAATTGACGTTGCCAGGGCGTGCCGGAGTGCGTTCTGTTCGTGGCCCAGAGGCTGACCAAGTATCCCCTTCTGCTGGAACCGCTGCTGAAGACGGCCGGTGATGACGTCACCGAGAGGGAGCTGCTTCAGAAAGCGCTGTGCGGCGTTAAGGTAATCTAAACTTGTTAGTTTATATAAAACATAATAGGAATGATTAGAACGTAATATGTACAGTCGGCGCCACCTAGTGTGAATTATTTAAGTCTTATAAAAAATAAACTCGCCTTGGTCTGCTTCTACTCATTCCAAGTCAAACTGTCAAGCACGTTGGTTTATTAATTCTTAAGGTTACGACCGTTTGGCAAAACGAACTAATGCCTTGTCGGTTGACAACTGTACTGCAGTCCTTAGTGGAAGGGAGATAACTGTGAATATGAATGAGAGAGCAATAGAAGAACCAGAGCATCGCGGGGGTCCGACGTGAGGTAGAAATGTTTGCACTTTTGCGTTTGGTGCAACGAGTGAGGTAGCAGGGGCCCTCTATCTGAGAGGTCGATCGTCTGCGACGCAACTTGAATCCTGATGAACAGTCCTTGCGTTAATGAGTGACATTATTGAATATCATCATATTTGGCTGCCACTCGGAAATCGTACATCGTTCGTTCCATTTCGCAGGAGATATTGGTGGACGTGGACAACCAGGTGGCGGCGAAGGAGCGCGAGGACAGGAAGCTGGAGATATACCACCGGATCGATGCGAAATCCTTCGCAAACTTCCGCGGGCGCAAGTTCAAGAAGAGCGACATACTGCAGGGCAACAGGAGTTTGAAGTGAGAGAATTTTTGTGTGAATTTTATTTTCATACTGGCTGTGCGCGCCATTTCATCCGCCTGGCATATAAAATAAATTAAATTTCTGAAATAGAAGTAGCCTAAGCTACTCCTCATTACGTCGGCTATCTGCTGGTGCAAGTACCAACAAGGACAAACAGACAAACAGACAGACAGACAAAAATTGTAAAAAATGTTATTTTGGTATACGTATCGTGTATACATCCATATTGCCAAACTATCAAACCAAATCAAAACTAACTAAATTAACCAAATCTATCTATAGATTGAATATTGAAACCGGCCGCGAGTTTATCTAAAATAGAAAAGATCGTCTGATGTGAACGTTTTGTGAAACTTAGCAATTTTGTCGTTTCAGATTCGAAGGCGTGGCCACTCTGATGCAGGGGCGCAGCAAAATGCAGACCTTGCTGGTGATCGTGCTAACGGACGTGCTCTTCTTCCTTCACGACAACAACAACAAATACACGTTCTTCACGCCCGAGAATAAGGTCGGTTTTACTTTAACGCGATAATTGAACGTCGACGAACTTAGAGCTTCTATAATTTTTACAGGAAATGTTTTTTTTCACTGTTCAGGAAAGAGCTAAGGGTCTGGTAACTCACCGGTCTCCGCCTTCCACTGCCTCACGCTGCTGGGGCTCGGCGAACTGGTTGGCCGATTCGGTTTCTCGAAAAGATATTATGACCCTGTCTCTCCGAATAGTATTTCCATAGGTCGCTGGCACAGTATTCTTCAGGAATTGTTCGTACTCGTAGTAATAGCGAGACACGCGGTAATTTTCAAAGGCAAAGGTGTTACGTTTCGGCGTACGGCGCGCAAGTATATACGTTGCTCAGCCAATCAGAGGTGAGCGCGGTGTTCAGCGTTGAAAAGGATTGTTACCAGACCAAAAAATAGAAAATCCCTATCGACTTAATCATTGTTGTCACTCGCAATTTAAATGTAAATAACGATAACGAAAAAAAATAAAGCAAATTATGAAAAATGGTTTCCGGTACGGAACATTCACAATTACATTCGGGGCCCTTTAATATATTATTTTTACAGTTTCACTTCCCTATATAATATGGTACTTTATATTTATATAAAAGTCGGAAATATTAGACTATTTATTTATGAGACAAATCTGCACAACAAATCTTTAATTATATAACCTTGAAGTATTTATGTGTGTATTATTAACTCACCAGACTTAGTTAGAAATTGCAATAATATATAAAACGTGCACTATTAATATGTGTGCACAGTCCGGTGTGGACAAGGCAGGCTTTAGTGTAATAAATTATGCCTTTTTATTACCCAATTAATTATGCCTTATTGGTGAGGTTCAATACTTAACACCCTAAAAATTTCCAGACATACGTTTTTCAGCCGGGCGGGTAAATCTTTGCCTAGCGAGACGAGCTCACAAGCCGTTTAGAAATCGAGCGATCAATAGATATCTCACCACGAAACTCCCTTGTGATGTTTCGTAATCTTTTCCGAACCCCCCCCCCCCCCCCCCCTTCGGGTCTCACGTGGCTAATGGACGATCCCTCGCGTTTCTGTGGTTCGAACGATGGTGATAATGTTGTATTCGCTTGCAGACCGGCGTTGTGTCGCTGTGGAAGCTGCTGGTGCGCGAGAAGGCCGGCGCCGAGGGCAAGGGCCTGTACCTGATCTGCAGCGGCCCGGCCGAGCCCGAGATGTTCGAGCTGAGGGTGCACCGGCCCAAGGACATCGCCGCGTGGATACACGCGATCAGGTGCGTGTGTGTGTGTGTGTGTGAGTGTGAGAAGGTGGCAAGCGGACATATGCCACACCCGTAGGGTTGCAGATGCGTTGCCACATGTTAAGGGCGTGTTTGCGAAATCTCGCGGAATCTGCAAAAATAGGGGGTTTTCAGGTACATTTTGCGGCAAAACGAAACGAATATAATGTAAGTAATAATTATCACATATAGATCCCTCCTTCATCTTCAAATGGTAGATAGTTTTTAATCGAAAATTTTGGTTTATAATATTGTAAATGAGAATTTTCGTGACCACTTCACTCAAAATGGACGATATCCTGTTGGGTTTAGGAACATTTTTCTCTTATTTAATAACATATTTTTTTTTTTTTAAATATTTTATGTAAGCACACATGTTCAACTCAAAAAGGTAGCTACATTACGTATCAAAATTGTTGAAATTAGTTTCAGAAAAAAATAAAGATTAAAATCTATTTCTTTCACATTTATATCTTACGCGTGAATCTTAAGTGATTGACATAAAGGTTATTTTACTGGTCACTTTTTTGGTTTATTCCACAAAAATATTTAAAGAAATATTAGTCGGCGCTCGGCTGCCGTCATGAGTGGTCACTATATCGCTTATAAACAGCAGCTCGTGAGGAAAAAGATCGCTGTACGAATACAAAATATTTGTCGTAACAAAGTTGATACTTTACACATCATGTTCGGACTTCGGACTACGAACGACAAAAGTAAACTATAATTCACACTTTGTCATATTTTTACTAGAAATTAAAAATTTTAGGGTTAAAAATTCATATTTCGTTACGGACTTGATGGAGTGACCTGAAGGTGTACTTTGAGAACTGCTACTGGAACTAACAGACGAGATGAGCTATGTGTGTCGAGTTTGGGCTTGTTTTGTTAGGTATGGTGAGATCTTGCCTTCTGACTAGATGGAGTGACCTGAAGGTGTACTTTGAGAACTGCTACTGGAACTAACAGACGAGATGAGCTATGTGTGTCGAGTTTGGGCTTGTTTTGTTAGGTATGGTGAGACCTTGCCTTCTGACTAGATGGAGTGACCTGAAGGTGTACTTTGAGAACTGCTACTGGAACTAACAGACGAGATGAGCTATGTGTGTCGAGTTTGGGCTTGTTTTGTTAGGTATGGTGAGACCTTGCCTTCTGAGTAGATGGAGTGACCTGAAGGTGTACTTTGAGAACTGCTACTGGAACTAACAGACGAGATGAGCTATGTGTGTCGAGTTTGGGCTTGTTTTGTTAGGTATGGTGAGACCTTGCCTTCTGACTAGATGGAGTGACCTGAAGGTGTACTTTGAGAACTGCTACTGGAACTAACAGACGAGATGAGCTATGTGTGTCGAGTTTGGGCTTGTTTTGTTAGGTATGGTGAGACCTTGCCTTCTGACTAGATGGAATGACCTGAAGGTGTACTTTGAGAACTGCTACTGGAACTAACAGACGAGATGAGCTATGTGTGTCGAGTTTGGGCTTGTTTTGTTAGGTATGGTGAGACCTTGCCTTCTGACTAGATGGAGTGACCTGAAGGTGTACTTTGAGAACTGCTACTGGAACTAACAGACGAGATGAGCTATGTGTGTCGAGTTTGGGCTTGTTTTGTTAGGTATGGTGAGACCTTGCCTTCTGACTAGATGGAGTGACCTGAAGGTGTACTTTGAGAACTGCTACTGGAACTAACAGACGAGATGAGCTATGTGTGTCGAGTTTGGGCTTGTTTTGTTAGGTATGGTGAGACCTTGCCTTCTGAGTAGATGGAGTGACCTGAAGGTGTACTTTGAGAACTGCTACTGGAACTAACAGACGAGATGAGCTATGTGTGTCGAGTTTGGGCTTGTTTTGTTAGGTATGGTGAGACCTTGCCTTCTGACTAGATGGAGTGACCTGAAGGTGTACTTTGAGAACTGCTACTGGAACTAACAGACGAGATGAGCTATGTGTGTCGAGTTTGGGCTTGTTTTGTTAGGTATGGTGAGACCTTGCCTTCTGACTAGATGAAGTGACCTGAAGGTGTACTTTGAGAACTGCTACTGGAACTAACAGACGAGATGAGCTATGTGTGTCGAGTTTGGGCTTGTTTTGTTAGGTATGGTGAGACCTTGCCTTCTGACTAGATGGAGTGACCTGAAGGTGTACTTTGAGAACTGCTACTGGAACTAACAGACGAGATGAGCTATGTGTGTCGAGTTTGGGCTTGTTTTTGTTAGGTATGGTGAGATCTTGCCTTCTGACTAGATGGAGTGACCTGAAGGTGTACTTTGAGAACTGCTACTGGAACTAACAGACGAGATGAGCTATGTGTGTCGAGTTTGGGCTTGTTTTGTTAGGTATGGTGAGATCTTGCCTTCTGACTAGATGGAGTGACCTGAAGGTGTACTTTGAGAACTGCTACTGGAACTAACAGACGAGATGAGCTATGTGTGTCGAGTTTGGGCTTGTTTTGTTAGGTATGGTGAGATCTTGCCTTCTGACTAGATGGAGTGACCTGAAGGTGTACTTTGAGAACTGCTACTGGAACTAACAGACGAGATGAGCTATGTGTGTCGAGTTTGGGCTTGTTTTGTTAGGTATGGTGAGACCTTGCCTTCTGACTAGATGGAGTGACCTGAAGGTGTACTTTGAGAACTGCTACTGGAACTAACAGACGAGATGAGCTATGTGTGTCGAGTTTGGGCTTGTTTTGTTAGGTATGGTGAGACCTTGCCTTCTGACTAGATGGAGTGACCTGAAGGTGTACTTTGAGAACTGCTACTGGAACTAACAGACGAGATGAGCTATGTGTGTCGAGTTTGGGCTTGTTTTGTTAGGTATGGTGAGACCTTGCCTTCTGAGTAGATGGAGTGACCTGAAGGTGTACTTTGAGAACTGCTACTGGAACTAACAGACGAGATGAGCTATGTGTGTCGAGTTTGGGCTTGTTTTGTTAGGTATGGTGAGACCTTGCCTTCTGACTAGATGGAGTGACCTGAAGGTGTACTTTGAGAACTGCTACTGGAACTAACAGACGAGATGAGCTATGTGTGTCGAGTTTGGGCTTGTTTTGTTAGGTATGGTGAGACCTTGCCTTCTGACTAGATGAAGTGACCTGAAGGTGTACTTTGAGAACTGCTACTGGAACTAACAGACGAGATGAGCTATGTGTGTCGAGTTTGGGCTTGTTTTGTTAGGTATGGTGAGACCTTGCCTTCTGACTAGATGGAGTGACCTGAAGGTGTACTTTGAGAACTGCTACTGGAACTAACAGACGAGATGAGCTATGTGTGTCGAGTTTGGGCTTGTTTTGTTAGGTATGGTGAGATCTTGCCTTCTGACTAGATGGAGTGACCTGAAGGTGTACTTTGAGAACTGCTACTGGAACTAACAGACGAGATGAGCTATGTGTGTCGAGTTTGGGCTTGTTTTGTTAGGTATGGTGAGATCTTGCCTTCTGACTAGATGGAGTGACCTGAAGGTGTACTTTGAGAACTGCTACTGGAACTAACAGACGAGATGAGCTATGTGTGTCGAGTTTGGGCTTGTTTTGTTAGGTATGGTGAGATCTTGCCTTCTGACTAGATGGAGTGACCTGAAGGTGTACTTTGAGAACTGCTACTGGAACTAACAGACGAGATGAGCTATGTGTGTCGAGTTTGGGCTTGTTTTGTTAGGTATGGTGAGACCTTGCCTTCTGACTAGATGGAGTGACTTGAAGGTGTACTTTGAGAACTGCTACTGGAACTAACAGACGAGATGAGCTATGTGTGTCGAGTTTGGGCTTGTTTTGTTAGGTATGGTGAGACCTTGCCTTCTGACTAGATGGAGTGACCTGAAGGTGTACTTTGAGAACTGCTACTGGAACTAACAGACGAGATGAGCTATGTGTGTCGAGTTTGGGCTTGTTTTGTTAGGTATGGTGAGACCTTGCCTTCTGACTAGATGGAGTGACCTGAAGGTGTACTTTGAGAACTGCTACTGGAACTAACAGACGAGATGAGCTATGTGTGTCGAGTTTGGGCTTGTTTTGTTAGGTATGGTGAGACCTTGCCTTCTGACTAGATGGAGTGACCTGAAGGTGTACTTTGAGAACTGCTACTGGAACTAACAGACGAGATGAGCTATGTGTGTCGAGTTTGGGCTTGTTTTGTTAGGTATGGTGAGATCTTGCCTTCTGACTAGATGGAGTGACCTGAAGGTGTACTTCGAGAACTGCTACTGAAACTAACAGACGAGATGAGCTATGTGTGTCGAGTTTGGGCTTGTTTTGTGAGTTTTTTTGAGACCTTACCTTTGAAATTGATGTATTGGCATGAAGGTGTAAGAATACAGTAAAAAAGTTATTTAAAATATGGAACTACGTATTCTACATCAATTCTGTGTATAAATATTTGTGAAACATGTTAATATAAAAAAAAAATTGAAATTTAGATTATAATTATGAGTCAATAGAGTAAATCACAAGTCAAAGTCAAGAATCAATAAATTCCGTAACGAAAATAAAACCTAACACCACCCACTCCGCCTACCACGCAAGAGGAAAGATTTGATTGTTTTTATGCATTGAATAGGCTCCTAAACCACTGAACAGATTTGAAAATTTCTTTCACTGTCTCGAAGCTACATTATCCCCGGATGACATAGGATATATTAAATTTTCAAAAAACTAGGAATCCTTACTAAAACTTGAATAATGTAAACCAAAGTGTACAAAAATTACCTAAAATATTGTTTGCATCGCGTGCGCTGCTAAAACTATTGATAATTGTATAAAATAATGTACTACGAATTTGCAGAACACATCATTATTTATAAAAAGTGTTGTGACAGTATATGTCTAATTATTATAGTTATGCCACAATAAGTATTCTTTTACTTTAAAATTTTGATTGAAATGCCGCTCTTTATTTGTATCTTGGTATTAATTCTTATAAAAATAAATTACTTTATATTTAAGACTGTTTCAATATCTTTATATAACTTTTTGAATGATTAAATTCGGACATTCCATTCGAAAGATATCACAAGTTTAAAAATGTTAGTATATTGTAATTTAACTATCCAGAGCTTAGTGACTGACTTAGTAGTTCTTATCATTTTTGTAAATAATATAAATTAATTATATATTATTAATTATAATAAATATTAATTATTATATTATTAAAATATTATTATTTATTAACATAAATATAAATATCAAAGAAAAAAATACTGCATAATTAAATAATTATAATCGCATAAGTTGATAAAAGATGTTATGCTATAGCTTTACCCCAGCTGAGCCGAGTGCGACAGGTTTTTTTTTATAAAAATGTTTTTTTAATTTTTACTAGTTTGTTTCCTTCATTTTATTATGTCATTTTTAGTTTCTAGATACTAGCCCGGCTTCGTACGCCATGCTATTTCCAATTCATTTACAGAAAATTATTTTTTTTAACATTTAGCATGAATGTTATTGAATCAGCAAAATGCATTCAGAATACCATACAAAGTATTTTACTCAATTCGTTAGCGGGTTTTACCTAATTATCTGCCTACATAGCTACCTTCCTACGTACCCTACCATTACCTACCTATCAAGCTATCTACCTACCGCACGCATAATCAAACATGTATAAAACAAGCTTCGTTTACTTCATAAAAATTAATTAAAACATAAAATTAAATTATATACATAATTAATTAAAACGCAAATTAACAACAGCTACGAGCTTTTAAATGAAATTTAATAAATTATACCTAAATATATAAAAAAATATTCAGTTTAAAAACTTGTTGAAAACAAATTTAACGTAAGCTTAAAAAATAAATGACTTCAAATTAAATAAAAGTATCAAGTTGCGTCAGTTACATAAAGTTTCGCTGCTTCGCGCTTGTCGCTGTGTGCGTGAGCCGTGCACGTGTAGTAGTACGCCTCTGTACCTAAAATTGAAGCGCGTGAATTCGTAAACGCGTCCTTAATGAAGTCGGTCCCGGTTATGTTTATGCGAGAAGGTGGCAAGCGCGGGCGGTTCACCCGATGTTGAGTGATGACCGCCGCCCGTGGACATTTGCAACAGCCGTAGGGTTGCAGATGCGTTGCCACGGCTACATCACTCACCAGACGAAACGCAGAAGTATCTTGCAACAGCCGTTGAGTTGCAGTTGCTTGCCAACTTTTAGTAAAGTTGGGCCCCGGTTATCTCACTCACCAGACGAAACGCAGAAGTATCACACTTCCACCTCACGCCGATCTTCTGTGAGGTCGTGGCACTTACCCGGATGGATCTGCTCATTGGTGCAACAGCCGAAGCTATTGCGTGGCCCTACCGCAATCAACCGTGACCGGACGTTTTTTTAGTTACACTTTCGGCGCGTTTGAACTTAGGTATTGGCACCGGGATTTGGACTCAGTCACTCTTACGACTTTAAACCGTATTACTTAAAGACTAGCGACTAATTTCGTCCGGAACTAAGGGTTGTTCGAGTATAACTAATAAAAAGCGAGCGCTTGGACACTGCACGACTTCGAACCCTATTACTTAAAGCTTAGCGACTAGTTTCGTCCGGAACTAAAGGTTCTAATATAATTGAAAGCAAGCGCTCGGACACTGTACGACTTGGAACCGTATTGCTTTTTTATTAACGATCAATTTCCTCCGAACAGGGCAGCGGTGCAAAGCTGCCCCGAGGAGGTGGAGGAGTCGGAGGCGGGCGCCCAGGCCACGTCCGCCGAGGAGCGCCAGCGCCAGCTGGAGGCGCGCCACGAGAACATAAGACTGATTACCGGTAAGCTATTCTGCGCCTTATCTTGTGCACATTAAGGTTCTTTCCACATTGACAGAGTCTACAGTGTTGCTTTTGGTGGCGCGCACATGTCTGGTTGTCGATTTTGCGCCTTATTTCGTACTAATTAAAGGTTATTTTCACATTGAAAGGTTACTGGTTCTCGGTCTATAGGGTTGTTTTGGATAGCACGCACATATCTGTTTGTCGATTTTGCGCCTTATTGAGTAAGATATCTTTCTTACCACATTGAATGGTTATTTCAATGTAGAAATTGAGGAAATTAATGTTCTTTCCATATTGATAGATTCTCGGTGAGGTCTTTCAACACTATCCGGTACTGATACGGTACTAGCAATATTGCACCTTATTTCGTAGTACTTAGGGTCCTTTCCACATTGTAAGCATATCTCGGTCTACATGGTTTTTTTATACCACACACATATCTGGTTGGTCTTTACTTACTTACTTTTCATGGTGGATTACTTTTTTCTTCCCTTAGCGGGGCCCCATGTGAATGCTACTATAATTTTTTATCTGTCTTCTTTTATTTTTAGAAAACGACTCCTTAAAACAAAATTTATTAAACCTCGTTTAAAAATCCTAGTTATCCCAGATTTCACTGGATGGATACATAAATAATATATATTAAGAGAATGATAATATTTTTATGGCACTAGGTTTTTAACATTTCGATATTTACATTTTAATACTAAGAACCCTTCAAGCTAATTTAGACTGCATTTCATGATGTTAAGGTTCAATTTTCTGTAACCGGAATTAAATGTGATTTTTTTTGTCACCAGACGAAACGCCATGGTGCCATATCGAAGGTGATATTATATTGATATAAATAAAATTATCATATACTTGTTTCTGCATGCAAGCATGTACATATATTATGTAACACGGTCACGACCTATAGAATATAAAGATGATAATTTTATTTGTTGTGTAAATAACTCATTTATCAATTTGGCATGAATTACATGTTATTCCATTTAGTTACTTTGCGCGGATGACTTCTCAGTGACAAAGTCTCGCTTAAAGAAACCCTTAACTGAAACTTAATTGCCAGCTACAGAAAAATAAAGTTGTAAGCGATTTCGATTATCGATATATCGAGCATACCTTATGGCTCGAACATCGTATTATACAGCGTGTCGTTACCATCGCGACAATAAATGAACACACATATAGGGGATAACTTTTTAAAGTTGTATTAAACATTTAAATTCTTTAAACATCAATATTTACAGAGTTATTAAATTTTCCAAAACAAAGAATTTTAGAACAGCCTCACCTATAAAAGTGTAACGTAAAGTTCATTTGTAAAGGTCACAAAGCATATGAATGGGTTGAATGAATTTAAAAGAGACAAAACATACTGTTAAAAGGAGAGGCTTGTAATACGACGCTGTGGCGCGAGTTATATAGGATGTTACAAATTTTGTTTCTTTTTTACTTAATTAGTTTGTTTGAAAAATATTTTTTTTTAATTATGGATTTTGTTTAACGTTAATATTTTTTTATGATTATTGGCAGGTAGCGTTAGACGTGTGTTCATTTATTGTCGCGATGGTAACGACACGCTGTATATCGATATATCGTATAGTGCTGCTTCGATATTACGAAATCGCTCGTACCGTATCGAGAATGCCCATGTGATGTTTGTCATTCGTTGTACAAGTGTTACGTTTCTTGTACTTCTTACTTCGCGTGACAACGCGCCTTGATATCAGCGGTCAAACTTGTGTCAGCTTGCGGCTCCGTTTTCGTGAATTTTATATTCGTTGACCGCCGTTGAGCTGAAAATATAGATTTTGATTTTGAAAACGCGACCTTGATAAAAAGATAAAAAGTCCATGATAAAAAGTAGACTAGGTCAAAAGGTACAAATCGTTTCAAAAACTAATTGTAATGAAAAAATGATGTCGATCTCTTTCTTTGTTCTTTTTTAAAGGCAAACCAACAAACACACTTTCGCGTTGTTTGTAGGGATGCTATTGTTATTTTACGCAAAACAAGCTAGAACGTTTCATTTTTTACTCCTTCTTTGCACCATAGACGTTTCCCATTCAAGCATTTCTATTCTAGAAAATTCTATTTCGATTTTTATCCTCTTACTTTTAAGGTATTACCTGCAATTTCTTCTCGATTTTACTCTCCTTCTTACTTCTTCTACTTCACAATTATAACACAAGGTATAATTAACGCTTTAACAGTACAATAACGGGGTTTACAGAGGCATTACGACTGAAGGACAGAGAGCACGCGGTCCTGCTAGAAGAGAAGATGGCGTTACACATGAAGATGGTCGGCCATAGCGGATCTTCTACACTGGACGTGCCTCATACTGGTAAGTTTCGGGACGCCATTTAGCATGTACCATCGCTTGCAAATTGCTTACCAAACTACCCATTATCTAAAAAAATATGACGTCCACCGAACCGGATAACAAAGCTATTCGCGATGGTTCCTCAAATCTTCAATTTAAATTAACCATTTCATTTGTGCCAACACCGGGATTTGACTCTCACTCGAGTATTGTGAATTAAAAGTGAGCGCCCGGACATTGAGCTGTCACGGCTCAAGCAATACCTAACGAACAATTGTATTGTCCTGTCTCATGAAAAAAGACATATTACCCTTTAGGATAACATTATTTTGTAAGGATGTTTTACAAACATAAATTACACAAGGACAAACACCCAGATGCGAAACAACTATCAGTGGGTCACACAAAACACCTGTTCCGTGTGTGAATCGAACCCACGAACCCCGCCAATAGCTTGGCAATCGCGTCACGGGGTATATTGAACGGTAATAGTGAAGAATCGCTGATGTTCAAATTAAGTCCTTTTATTTAATACCGTCATAGAACACAGAGACACTAGGTTTAATATACATATATATGTATTGATGTCCAATAAATAAATGTCCCGTTCCCGGGCAGGCGTGAGCGCGGTGTTCCCCGGCGGGCTGGTGTTCCCGGACTACGTGCGCCTGGCCGCGCCCACGCCCGACACGCACGCGCTCTGGCAGGAGGTCTGCCGGGTGGTCAAGGTACGGGTAGAGAGCGAGAGAGAGAGAGAGAGATATCAAGAGTGGGACAACCTCCACTCACTCTCTGCTCTTCTCGTGTTGTTTATTAGAAAAATTATAAGATCAGATAAGCGTTTGATCCTTTTTCATAATCATGTGCAGCTTTTCAAAATAAGAATATATAAAAAAAAAGTTTTTGTAAGGGCGAGATAAAAGAAAATTTTCGTGCATCTCTGTTCTCCATGTCTTCATCATCGTTTATATGTCTAAATTGTGGAGATCGTCGATTCTATATTCACAGGCCCTGCAAATAATTGAATGGGTACATTCACACACAGTTTTTTCTAAAGATAGGAGGTATATATTTTTAGAGTTCTATTCTCTGCACTTAACTAGAATTTAAACATTTGTTGAAAAATGGACGAAAGTTTTTCGCCGTTGCGACGATTTGAGCATACGTCCTCCGGGATACGCGGCCGACGGTGTAGCCACTAAGCTTAACGGTACTATAGTCTCTCCAAGGAAAATCTCAACGTATTTACAACTATACATTTTTAAGTTTTATACAGCGTGTCGTTACCATCGCGACAATAAATGAACATACATATAGGGGATAACTCTTTAAAGTTGTATTAAACATTTAAATTCTCTAAACATCAATATTTACAGAGTTATTAAATTTTCCAAAACAAAGAATTTTAGAACAGCCTTACCTATAAAAGCGTAACGTAAAGTTCATTTGTAAAGGTCACAAAGCATATGAATGGGTTGAATGAATTTAAAAGAGACAAAACATACTGTTAGAAGGAGAGGCTTGTAATGCGACGCTGTGGCGCGAGTTGTATAGGTGTTACAAATTTTGTTTCTTTTTTTTACTTAATTAGTTTGTTTGAAAAATATGTTTTTTTTAATTATGGATTTTGTTTAACGTTAATATTTTTTTATGATTATTGGCAAGTAGCGTTAGACGTGTGTTCATTTATTGTCGCGATGGTAACGACACGCTGTATATTACGATTGGCTCTATAGTCCGGTATTCTTTAAAAACACCTAAACGGACCAGTGTAAGAATTGATACGAAACATTGCTTCGATACGAAACATTATTTACGAAACATTCTTTCTAGGAGGCTCTGGAAGCGTCCAGCGGCACGTGGTGCGGCGGCATCTCGCTGGGGCGCAGCACCAGCTCGGCAGGGGAGAGACACTCCGTCGCCTACCAGAGCCCCGCGCTGCCCCGGCGCGCAGACACTTTCGCGGGCTTCGACGCCGCCCGCCACAGAGGTGACACCATGGGCTATGCTAGCCTGGTACTTTTCATAGTGACCGCTTGCCCCGTCTCCATAGAAGTGATTCCTCTAACTTATGCTAGTCTGTTATCAATCTGCGGAATCATTACCAATTGTTTTATGGACTTGGCACGCCTGGCAAATGCCTCAAATTGCTTACATTGTTCCTTGGCTGATACTCCCACCGCCACAGAGGTGACAGGATAGACTATGCTAGCCTGGTACTTTTCATAGTGAGCGGTTGTCCCTTCTCCAATAGAAGTGATTCCTCTAACTTATGTTAGCCTGTTATCAATCTGCGGCATCATTATCAGTTGTCTTGTGGATATGGCACGCATGGCAAATGTCTCAAATTGGTTACATTGTTCCATAGCTGATACTCCCACCGCCCCAGAGGTGACACGATAGACTATGCTAACCTGGTACGGTTCATAGTGCTTGTCCCTTCTCCAATAGAAGTGATTCCTCTAACTTATGCTAGCCTGTATCATTCTGCGTCATGGTCACCATTTGTTTTGTGGACTTGGCACGATTGGCTTATATCTCAAATTGTCTCATAGCTGACATTCTCACCGGTCAGGCTAGTCTGGTACTCGGTATTATGTGACCTGGTAATTTTGCCACGCTCAGCATTTAATGTAGCCATAGACAGACTCCCACTTTCCTTTGTGACTAGGCTTGACCTTGGCGCATCCGCCAATTGTCCCGCAGTCTTTATTGCTAATGTGACTCCCCGTCCCGAGCAAATAATGCTAGCTTAGCTCAGTGGACTTGGCCGAATGTTGTAATTCAAATTAGCATTCCCACTGCCTTATGATCCTGCGAAGCAATAAATGGCTAGCATCATTCATTTAATATAACCACAGAGATTACTAATAACCGACTTATGCACGCCTGGTAGTTGGCATCATATGATCTAGGCATGCTTAGTAAAAGTCCATCATTATTGCCATAGAGGCGCCTGCATCCAATTTTTTATTATAAGCCTCACAGCACATGTGATCTATATTTTACCTTGCCATCATCTTTGCACACTTTGTTAAAGGTCCCGGTATTTAAATGTAACTATATAGATGATAGCCACCTACTTATGCTAGCCTGGTATATTGTAACCTATGGCCATGGTGTGTGATTGGAAAAAGCCGGTATTTTCCCTGCTTTTCTTAGCCTAACCTACTTGCAGGCGTGGCAGTCCGCCTGTCCACCGACACCCCCACCGAGCCAGCGGGTGAGCCAGCCGCCGAGGGCGCGAGCCACAGGCTCAGGCCGGCGGCGAGCCAGTAGAGACGCGCCTGCTGGATCAGATCGGCGGCGACGCGGCCCTCAAACTGCAGCACGCCATATACACGCTCACTTGCATCGTGTGGCAACAGCTTACGACTATTCACAGGTGTGCTGTTAACTAAGATTTAATAGACGACAGACATATTAACAGAGCATATGCAGCATTTGATTCTAAGTCTGAACCTGGTACGTAGTTGTGCCCTCATTTTTTTTTTCGAAGATTATTTTAAATTTTTTCAAACATTATGGAAAATTCCTGTCTTACGTCTCAATAAAATAACCTATTCACGAGCACTAAAATTTTTCGTTGAACGCATAATTACTAAACCGCTTATCAATAGGGTGACTACTTTTAACGGCATAAACAAACAATGTTTGAATTGATATTTTTCTGGTTATTTCTTGTCAAAATAAAACATTAATATTTTTTTGGAATTATGGCATACTCAATTAACATTATGTCAATTATGCACTTCGTCTAAAAAATCATCCTGTATACTATTCATATTATTTTTACCGTTAAAGAACATAAATTAATTCAATAAAATTATATAGTTTCGAACCCATCAGAGCTCCTGAGGGCCGACTGCTAGTAGTCGATACAGACGCCGGTTCAACGCGAGTTCAGCCGTCTTGTCATATCTACCTCGCATTTGTCGTCGGCTCTATGGTTTTCAATATCACCGGCCGACCGGCCACGGCCCCCAGCCTGGAGGCGCAGGTGTGCGCGTGGCGGTCGAGCGGCGGCAGCGCGGCGCGCACGCACGACGCGCAGCTCGAGGAGCTGCGGCACGCGCAGGCGCGGCTCACGGCGGAGCGCGCCGCGTGGGAGGCGCAGCGGGCGGCGGACCGCGCCGCGCTCGCCGACGGTGAGGGCGGGACGGGGCGATGGGGGGCGTTGCGTGAGCGATAGGGACGGCGTGCGAGTGGACGTGCCGCCCCGGTGGGCTGCGAGAGCGGGACGGGGCGATGGGGCCGCGGCGCGCTCAATAGGGACGGCGTGCGAGTGGACGTGCCGCCCTGGTCGACTGTGAGAGAGGACGGGGCGCGGCGTGCGCGATAGGGACGGCCTGCGGGGAAACGCACCTGCCGCCCTAGTGGATAACGGGACGGGGCGACGGGGATCGCGTTGCAGAGATGCCTGCTAGTATGATGAACGGTCAGAGCGGGACAAAGGAAGTCTGACTGTGGTGTATAGAGTGACAGAAATACGGGAATACGTGATTTACTGAATAATGCATTTACTGAATATAGGCGGAACGCAGCAGGCTTAGAAGTACTAAAAGTGCACTGTGTTAGGGCCACGGCACAGCTGTTTTCGCGTTTTCTCCCAATGATTGAAGTAATTGAGGTCCACTGAGGTCCACTGTTTAAAGACGCAACCGCAACAACAACCCGCAACCTCTCTGTTGTTATAGATGCCCATGCGCTCCTTTGCCAACTTTCCCCCAAAAGAGAAATATACGTAGAAAAATAAATTCAAACAACGGCAAACAAATTCAAACAACAAACAGCACAGTGCCTAGTGTGGGGCCAATGGATATCAACAGCTTGTAATATTTTCTCCTTGTCGTTGAATATAATTTTTCATTTAATTTTCATCTCGCCAACAGAGCGACGGCAGCTGCAAGCGGCGCGCCAGGAGTTGGAGGAGCAGCAGAAAGACGTGGAGCAACAAAGGGAGCGGCTCTACCGCCGTCTGGAGAGGCTACAGCAACACGGTGGGGACAGAGGAACCCATTTTGAACACCCGATTGTGTAGGGATGTCGAAAAAATATCGATATATTTGGTTCCGATATATCGATACAAAATGTACAATATCGAAAATCATATCAAAAATATATTTTTTCGGGTGTCATGTTTAATACTTGATAAACCTTGTTTTTTGGACTTGGGCCTAAAGAAAAAATATCGATATTTTCTCTTCGATATTCTTATAAATATCGATATATATATTTCTTCACTACCGACATCCCTTTCGATATCAACATAATACATTTTTAATTCTAGCAATATCATATATTATTCAAAAAAATTAGCAGTCTAAATTCTTTTCTTTCGTGTGTTTTAATGTGATGCGTCCTTGAAATAAACTCTCTATCATCTTTCAATTATCGAATCGCCTAGGGTTTCACTTCGAAAACGGTGGCTTAGTGGTTAGTTTCAATGCTAATTGTGTGCTATAAAAGAAGCACCTTTAAACATTTTTGAATTCTTACCTTTCAGGTGGCTCACAAGAGGAAATTGCGAGTGTCGGCACTCTGTCACCGGATTCGAGCGTAAGCGATATAACTCGCCGGAAAGAGCCGAAATGGCGAAGTGAGTTGATTTTACAGTAGTTTTAATTTCACGAAGCGTTATTGATATCGAATTCTAGAGTTAGTGATAGTTAAAATATGACTATGAGCCTGACGCTCAGGCCGCGAATGCCGAAGACGTGGGTTCGATTCCCACAGCGGCGACAATCTTTTCGCACTTTTTCTACATATTTTAATGTTCAATCTTAAGTGCAAAGATTAGCACTATAAACAATTTAAATTAGTGATAGTTGTCTTAACAAAGAAATCTATTTAGAAGATATGTGATTGTTGCCCTATAGCCAGATTCAATGTGTTCGAAACAAAAAAGAAACCAAAATTAAAAGTACATTCCGCTTTATTTAACAAAACATTTATTAAAAGATATGGTCTCGGAGCACGAAGAATTTCGTACGTTGACCTGTTATTTCTTGTCTCTACTGCTAACAGTGTAATAAACAAAGAAATTACTCCATGATTAATCAATGATTAGTCAGCTAATAGTCATCGAATAGTCAAATTTTAGTTAAAGAGTAGTCAAAGATTATTCAACGTTCAGTCGGTCATCGACGATTAGTTAACGTTTAGTCATCTATTAGTCATCGACTAGTCAACGATTAGTCAAAGTTTAGTCATAACCTACCAGTCAAAGATTAGTCACCGACCAGTCAAAGATTAGTCACCGACCAGACAAAGATCAGTCACGTACTAGTCAAAGATTAGTCACCGAACAGTCGAAGATCAGTCACCGACCAGTCAAACATCAGTCACCGACCAGTCAAAGATTAGTCACCGACCAGTCAAAGATTAGTCACCGTACAGTCGAAGACTAGTCACCGACCGGTCAAAGATTAGTCACGTACTAGTCAAAGATTAGTCACCGACCAGTCAAAGGTTAGTCACCGACCAGTCAAAGATTAGTCACCGACCAGTCAAAGATTAGTCACGTACTAGTCAAAGATTAGTCACCGACCAGTCGAAGATCAGTCACCGACCAGTCAAAGGTCAGTCACCGACCAGTCAAAGATTAGTCATCGACCAGTCAAAGATTAGTCACCATACAGTCGAAGACTAGTCACCGACCGGTCAAAGATTAGTCACCGATCAGTCAAAGATTAGTCACGTACTAGTCAAAGATTAGTCACCGACCAGTCAAAGATCAGTCACCGACCAGTCAAAGGTCAGTCACCGACCAGTCAAAGATTAGTCACCGACCAGTCAAAGATTAGTCACCGTACAGTCGAAGACTAGTCACCGACCGGTCAAAGATTAGTCACGTACTAGTCAAAGATTAGTCACCGACCAGTCAAAGGTTAGTCACCGACCAGTCAAAGATTAGTCACCGACCAGTCAAAGATTAGTCATGTACTAGTCAAAGATTAGTCACCGACCAGTCGAAGATCAGTCACCGACCAGTCAAAGATTAGTCATGTACTAGTCAAAGATTAGTCACCGACCAGTCGAAGATCAGTCACCGACCAGTCAAAGGTCGGTCACCGACCAGTCAAAGGTCAGTCAATGACCGACGACGGCCGCAGGCAACCGCGGCTCGACCGGCTCCGAGTCGTCGGCGTCGGCGTGCAGCGCGCGCGGCGTCCCGCTGCCGCCGCCGCAGCTGCTCTCCGCGCAGAACGAGAGCCGCGCCACGGTGCGCGCGCCCGCCATATGCGTGAGTGATACGAATCCAAATCATTATAATGAATGCGATAAGTACGCCGGTGGGGCCACGCAGCGGCCTCGGCTGTTGCCCGAATGGGCAGGCTCGTACGGGTAAGTACCACCACCTCGCAGAAGAACGCGTGAAGTGGAAGTATGATACTTTCTTGTTTCGTCCGGTGAGTGAGGTGGCCGGAGCACAATTTTCAAAATGTTGTCAACACATCTGCAATCCTCGGGTGTCAGAAATGTCCCTGGGTGGTTCTATTAACTTGACATCAGGTGCTCGTTTGGCAACATTTCACATAAAAAAAGTAAAAATGTGTCATAAAATAAAATATTATTATACATATCAAAATCATAAAATACTTCTATACTATTCGTCTAATACTACTATATTTTTTATTTCTTTTTATTTTAAAAAACATTGCCCTTACTTCAGGATAACATTATCCTGTGTTGTAAGGACGTTTTACAAACATAAATTTCACGCGGACAAACACCCAGATGCGGAACAACTATCTATGGGTCACACAAGCAGATCCCATATATATATTTGTGGGTCACCAAATAGTTGTCCCGTGTGGGGATCGAACCCACGAACCCCCGACGCCGAAGCCAATACCTTAACAAATGCGCCACGGAGTACTCAACCATATTATTATTATTAGTACTACTAGTATATTATTCGACAACGTGTCATTTTACGTGTCGTATTATTTCGATGTTCATGGGCGGCGGTGATCACTTACCATTAGGTGAGCCTCCTCCTCGTTTGCTGCTTTTTTCCCATAAAAAAAAAGACGTAGTCGGCAGTGAACCCGCCTCTTGCGAGTGGACGTGCGTTTATTGTTTTCTTCTTTTACGAATTATTTCTTCAAGATCGGCCTACCCGAAATCAACCCCCCTTGGGTACAAACACCCAGACGGAATAATTAATCTTTGGGTCACACGAATGTCTGCCGCCGAAGTCAATAGATTAGCAAATGGATGACTTCGATCCCAGGGGTCGTGGGTTCGATTGCCACACGGGACAACTATTTGGTGTGACCCACAAATATATATATCGGATCTGGATGCTTGCCCACGTGAAATTTTTATGTTATTCTACAGTAAGGGCAACGTTTAAAAGTTTTTTGCCTAGCAGATAATGCCTAAGGCATTAAGTCCGCCTATTTTGTTCCGTATTAAAGGAAATGCAATATAGACTAAATAAATGTATAAAGATAAAAGAAATGCGCTAAACATTGAGTCACCAAACCAATGTCAAGAGTGAACGATCGAATGACTGAATGATTTCGATTTCAGCAAATGGTCAAGCAACAGCTGCCCTTGAAACTGGCCAGCGGTAAAAACCAACAAGCACCGCCCGGTTACCATAGGTTGCACGAGTCGCCCAGCGAGGTAAGCGAAATTAGCTCTTAATGCCCCTGACATAAAGTTCACAGTAACATTTTGTACATATAACATTGCCTAATTCATATTAAGCATGTTTTTAGAGGTTAGTTGTGGTTTTAGAAATTAAAAATAAAAGAATATGAACAGCCTTGAAAATGGTCATGGTCTAAGATTTTCTCCAATTATCACGAGATACATCAATTCATTGCTAAACCGTCATTGTTTGACACATTCAATAATTAAGACAGTTAAATTTAGCTTAATAATTTATACCCAAAACATAAAATTATGTAGTGTTATATGATGTTATAAAATAAAAAAAGTAATCAATTTGTTTTTGTTTGTTTACATATTTCTTTAAAAGTAGAAAGTCTTTAGAAGTAGTTGTTCTAGCAAATATAGTTCATAAATTTAAAAAAATTAATAAATATTATTTGAAAACACGAATACCGTCTTAAAACTTCGGTGGCCACCTTTTGTCACGGCAAAATATAAAATATAAATACAACTTAAAACTGGAATAACTGTGTGTATTTTTTTTAAATGATTTATTCATAGTATGAATAATTAAAATCACAAAACACTCTATTATACACTAAATTGCGAATGGCCTATTTTATTTCTGGAAATTGAAAACGATAATATATTTAAAAATTATAACGTCACCAACGTCAATGACAAAACACGTGACATTAGCACATAGATGAACCAGTGAATTTTGCCCAAACCAAAATTGCACAAAGTTTTCATTTTATAAATATATTTTAATAAATAAATGTAAAGTCAATTGACATCTTTCATTCGAATTATCCGTTGTAAAACTTTATTCGAAATCGTCTGTGCGTCTGTGTTAAAGGACATAGAAAAAGATGCGCCAAGCGTTTCTTATATAGCGGAAAAGAGACAAAGAATGTTCATTAAAAAAAAACAATGTCACACAAAAAAGAATGTAATAAAAAAAAACAATGTAGATAAAATATTTTGTAGCTTTAAATTGGCAACTCTTTATTTTTTTTTATGAATTCCTTCACATGAATATGATAAAATTGTTTGCAACAGATCAAATGGTTATTTTACAGGATGCAGAGTATCCGAATGTATTTTAACAGCCATAATTATTTATTTAGTGTAAGTAACGATTGGTTGTTCAGTAGACGGTCTTTTTCAAATTTCTCTGTGTTATGTAGGCTTTTAGAGCACCGATATTTATGTTAACAGCCCTAATAGATTGTCTGTGTTTATTGTAAAATCGTCTATTATATGTCTTAATAAATTTGACATTGGAATTGAGCAATTAGAGAAAAATAAAAATTATTTTATTGAGAGTGACACAGCTTTTGTCTATAGTTATTTTCATAAACGAAATAAAATCTACCCTCCAGAATCCTTAACCAACACATTTCTTTGACAAACAAAGGGTGTCTCTTGACCTACTCGTAGTGTGCATACTTAACACTATTCAAGAATGCACACTATTTGGCGTCAAGCATAGCTAAAACTGCAATAAAGAAAGTGGATAAATTTCGAGATTTTCGCGTAAGGTTGCTTAGTTCAGTTGGTAAAGCGTCTGGGCGAAAGTTCTTCATTTATCTACAAAAACTTCACATTTTGTGTTACAAACGCTTCTGAGATAAATCTATAATAATTATTTTATATTTGTATAAAAATGGAAACAAAGGTTTTCACCGCATCAGGACGTCTCCCGGATTCGCGCCCTTTAACCACTAACCTAAACGGCTGATGGTCGCACATCTTAAGTTCATAGATTAGCACTATAAAAATGTACATAATTCTGTCACTTTATTCTTTGACCGTAATAATTCGTAACTGCGATAAAAAATTCTGAAGTAATATCAATGTCAAACTATTTGTAAATAATTTAATTTTTCTGCTTTCTGCTTTACAATTTATTCGCGTTTTGCTATCTTGTCATTGTTCTCAAACTGTTCATGTTACAACAGTAATTCTCAATTTTTATTGGTGTTTATTCTCACAACCATTTCGTCTGTGGGACTTTCGTTGTTAGCGCATGTCTTTTTTGCATCCTAGACCTTCTGACTTGTTGGGTTCAGAATAGTAGAATTTAAACCTCTACCTTCGGTCGATAATCGTGATGGCTTAAACTAGTGTTTTTTTTGCAGTTAGACTTTTTTCTTTAATTCAAATATTCTGGGTACAATATCTCACTTTGCAATGGTATAATATGATCGTGTTTATAAAGTTATATCAGTAACGATTGAAATGTCCCTAATATATTCGTGTAAGTTTTTAGTGTCGATATTCTCAGCAGGTAGCCACGCGTTCAACCACCGACTGCCGCCTTGCGAACTGTCATAATGTGAGGGAGAGAGATAGAGAGAGAGAGGAAGAGCAAGAAAATTCCTCCCTATCTCTTTCTCTTTCTCTCTCTCGCTATGAGTGATTGCGCGAAGACAACGGAAGAACGAAAAGGACCGTCACGTACAAAACATTTTATCAATTCCTCTATGTAAACTTATCGATGTAATTGCTGAGCGTGCATAACTTATTGTTACATGTTAATTGATGTATCGCTATCCCTTTCCAGCAAAGCCACGGCTTAGTGATACACCATACGCGTACCGGAAGCTCCCCCGCTCCGTTGCCATCGCAGCAACAATTAAATAACAAAGCTACCAGGTAAAAATAAATCATTTCATCATTTTAATACATTCATAGCTCCAGTGAGGAGGAAAAATCTTTCAGTGTCTTGTGTTGTCCCCATTTCATGTACACATATGTTAATTAATTTTTGTTCCTTTGTAATTTCCCCAACAAAGTGTTTATGATTAAAAACTGTCTATATTTAATATAAAATGAGTCGAAAACTTTCTCGCTGCTTTGAATAAAGTATTCATCGACGGTAAGGCTACTGTTGCACGAATGTGCAGGTCCGTCGGGGGGAGTACCACGACCTCACAAAAAAACGGGATCAAGTAGAAGTTTTACACGTCTGCGTTTCGTCGGGTGAGTGAGGTAGCCGGGGCCCACTTTATTAAAAGGTTGCGACGCATCTGCACACCTTTTTTTTACGTGGGAAAAATCCTTTATGGATCCCCTGCCACCGGATGGGGGAAGGGCAGCGTTATGCGGGAGGAGTCCCAGTCAGAAACGGGTACCCACTAAAAACGCACGTTTGCACCTATCTCTATCGCATCAGCGAGGGACACGGCAACACGAAGACGCAATCTTCCGCATCTGCACACCTCCGACCGTTGAAAATCCAGTTGAACCGTCAGCTTGCGTGCGATCTGCTTACTAAATGAGACGTCCGCACAGGACCAACACCTACCCCAAACTGCCGGAGAAGTTCCGCGTGCGCACGCCCGAGTCGTGCGTCGCCCCCCCTCCCGCGGCCCCCGCCGGCCCCGCGCCCCCTCCCGAGGAGGAGGTCATCTACTTCTGACACGAGCGCTCGCCGCCCGCGCACACGCGCTCCTGAGACTGCCGACTCTCCTAGACTGCTATGGGCTCCTGGTACCTTCGCCGCCACCCAACCACCTGGACGTAATATATGCAACCACCCCGGCATGGTTTTCTTTGCTCCTGGTTCTTTAACATGACCGTCATCCCCCTCCAACCCTACCCTACCCACCCTCGGATCCTGTCTGACACCGTCAACGCCCCTTCATTTTTCATTCAAGATGTGCCTCTGATACCTACCCCTATCTTCCCTTAGATCCCTATGTATGCCCATTTAACCTCTATATCCTCCCCCAACACCCAAACACGTGGACGTATATTCAACCACCCAGCATGGTTTTCTTTATTCCTGGTACTTTAAGATTATCGTCAGCCCCCCCCCCCCCCCCCCCCCCCCCTACTCCCCTGATCCTGTCGGACAACGGTTAACCCTCCGTCCCTTCATTTTTCATTCAAGGTGTGCCTCTGATACCCCTATTTTCCCTTAGATCCCTATGTATGCCGATTTACCCTCTATATCCCCCCTCTGTTTGTCTACCTGTGAAGTATTCAACTACCTGTGAATAACCTGACCAAAAGTAACGATTTGATTCCTTTCGGGTTTGGGTTCTCCACTGGTAGCTTCTCTCGAAGTGGTAGGTTCTTCTGTCGAATGCTTGTCCTGGTACTTTATAAACACATCGATGTCAGTGTAGTTTTTCTGGATTATTTTTACAAACCAAAATTCGTGTGTTGAGTTATTTTTTACAAGGAACTTCGATTGATTTTACTTCTCTTTCGCACGCTCATTGACATGTACTCCTGGTACTTTAACTGTGTTAGCCTTATTTGCTGAAACGAATATTATTTAATTATCTGTCGACAGATAATTAGTTTAACCGCCTTTTTGTTCTTTATATACGTATTAATGGTTTCAACGTCTTGAGATATTTTTAATTCAAATTGTAATAAAACTTTCTCACGATAGACGAATGTTGTAATACTAAATTCAATTCGCCATTTTAATTTACCACCTATAACCTAATTGTTCATTTTAAAATAAACTAAGGAGCCGAAAAGAGCCTTTATAAAATCATTATTACCTTAATCGGTTTTAATGTAATAATAAAAAAGCACATATAGAAGAATCCTGCTGGGTTAATTATGTGCTTTTTAGTATAGTACTATAACTTATCCATGGCATCTAAATTTTGAACTGTGGTAGTAAATGTATGAAATATTTTTTATTTAAAATTAATATTCCTTATTCCATATCAAGTGATGTTAACAAAAGTCATTCCATTGATGATCTCTTCTGAATTAATATCATAAAGTATTTTACGTATTATCCCAATTATTTTTATTAGTTAATTATTTTATTTCTTTATTTAATAACAATCTTATCAGTATTTTGTGGCAGCTAGTGTAAAATAAATTATCTATTATTTCACAATTATAACCTAAAAGCAGTCTAGTGGAGTCTTAGTCAAGTTAATTGTTAGTTTTAATGTTATATAAATACATTCACTAGTGTTAGTTAGTTAGGACTTGGATATGATATAAATAAGACTTCCTTAAAAAACCGTAACAACTTATAGGAAATGCATTCCAGATTATTAAAATTAATGAAATGTTTAAAAGGATATATCCATACAACATCTACTTAATATGGTCTATGAATATATTAAAGTTGTTGAAATTAGATGTTTTGAGGGATGTAAATATTCTATCGTTGGTATATATGTTGAAATGTTGATGAAATTAGTACTGATGATATACAAAATATGTTAAATGTAACATCAATCGTGCATTTCAAGTTGTTTCTATATATAAAAGATTATAACTTAATAAAACTTTTTGTGAATCTATTAGTCCTGAAGTATAATGCAACATAATTTCTCGATTATAAAACGCCGAACATAGTGGTCTTTCTGTAAATAATGAGGAAAACTAATGATATTTTTAAAGATCAATATACATAATTATGTTATTAAATTAATCGTTTGTACAACTTATGGTGAAACATTATAATTTGCAACTAAATGTATTTTTAATGGCAACACCGATACTATAAATCAGTGTTACCATTAGTAATATGTAAATCAATCTGAACGTCTTCAATTAATATTATAAAAAATTAATTTTCGCATAAGTAAGCGATTCTTAAATGTTCAGTCGAAAAATATATCTTAAAATTCTGTATATATAATTCAAATTTGCACTATGTCAAAAGCATCTCCAATGTAATATGGTGCTAAAAGATGTTGGACTCTTTTTGATTTGATTTCACTGAAATTTTAAAAAACACGAAACACGGAACACGGAACACTACAAGAAAGCAATATTATATAAAATAATATAATAATACACCACGTTTAAAAGGAAATATTTTCATTGATATTCCGACACATAGTATTTTAATTACTACTCGCACCATTTGTCGATGATCTAAATGTAAAGCTTATGTACTTACCTATGTTTTCTGTATTGAAGAGGTTTATGAAATATTATTTCCACTAAAAGTTTAAATTAACAGATATACTGTACTCGACTATTTATGTAAATATGTTAAAATGTTTGAAAGGATCGTAGCGCTGAGTTTTTTAAGAATGTAACTGATATTCTCCTTAGTTATCATGTTCATTTTAGAAAAAATAAGCGTGCTTTGACCACAGGACTGAACCAAAACTTTTTAGCTCTATCTGTATGTATGTATTTATTTATTTATGCTTTACTGCAAAACCTTAAAAAAAAGGATTACAAAGGGCGGATATAAATTTATGTATGTATAATATATATATATGTCTTGTTGAATGATATACATATATTAATTTTCTACAAATATTTAAATTTATTATGGGTTTTCATTGATAAATTATTAATCAAGAAATCACCGTTCGGTTAACCTTTCCGTTCGCCCCGCCCGACCACACTTTTCGTCGCGCATTCACCATCTTACTTCCCAAGTCAAGCGTGCGCAACGAAGTTTTACTTCAAAATAGCAAAAGATAACTTATGTGTGATTTAAAATTAACCAATTACTTATATTCTTATTGATGCCTGTCTTGGAATGCTCGTCATCACTCCGAATTAATAGCGGTTTTGTTTTCCACTTTCCCGGATTGTTTTTAGTTTAGAAAACGACGCCCTACGATCCTTTATTGTATTGGATATAATAAATGTTACATTCGAAATCACAATGTTATATCGCGGGCTCGTCGAAGAGTGGCAATTGCATGGCGCCGAGTGTAGAAACATCGAGTTGAAGGAAAGAGAAGGGGAGATGCCGAAAACCGGTGAAGTTCGTTCCAAATCATTCGCAGTCCCTTTCTAGCAACGGTTTCAACTGAGATATTACTCATTACCCGTATCGTAACCGCCCTATATCTAAACAGACAATTCGCTCCCTAACCACTAATAATATAAAATTAATGTGACCCCTGAAATTATAGCAACACTTGAATAACGCGAGCTTTGAAAAAAAAAACGCGCACCATAATCTGTCCATTCGTTTAAAAGGCACGATGCTCCAGACGGACACACAGATACACGAAGTCAATTAAGTGTATTTGAGTTTCATTCTTTTACGAATGTCTTCAAGTGACTGAAGTGTCAAATATGGGGGGGGGGGGGGGGGGTTGTTGAACTGTTTTTGGGTGTCATTGTCTACGAGTGTCTTCGAATGACTAAATTGTCAAATAATGGGGCGGGGACACAATTGTATGCCAAATTATGTCATTTATTGCAACCTCGCCGTTACGAATTGTTTCTGTCACCTCTGAGGAATGAGAAAATTCCTCGCGAACTACACCGGTTCCGTACGGGTTGGGCCTTCGCATGTGCGTGAATAACATACAATTGCTAGTCTCGCGCATTTATTCTAGGCTCGAGTGCGAATGTTTAGTGGTCCCAAATTCATCGTAGTAACAAAATACGTTTTCCACGATTCTCATATATTATTCAGAAATAAATCTTAATAGAAATAAACCTGATAAGCTAATATGAAGATTTACTGAAAACTGTATCTAACAGTATAGACGTTTTTGTATATTATATATATTAATTATATACGCAAATACATATGGTAAAATTATCATTCCCATTGTTTCAAAGTTCTACCAAGAGGCTTAAAACAACTTTGCCGTGTCACCGACGGCTAATATATCCAACTTAATTGATATAAACTTAACATTCGCACTCGAGACTTGTTAAGATAATTTAGAATACTGTTGTTATATGAACTTATAAGACTACTCGACTATTTTTCGTGCATTTACTGTAATCCTTTTTACTATTATAGTCTCTAGGGACGGTGATATTTTAATAACTATTGTCTCGTTTAGGACAGATTTTTCTTAAAATATGTATGTGTATATATATGATTAATGTTGACACTAAATCGTTATGGAGACAAATCATCCTTTATCGAGGTTTACGTCTACGTAGTTTTAATAGCAATTTTAAATCGCAATAAACTTTCGTATATATATAATTTTGGATATATGGCAATCCTTTTTATTAGATAGTATTAAAATTAATCAAGTCTGCGGAATAGAGATATCATATTTAGAGTGCTTAATTGTTTCAATTTATTTACAATCACCAAAGAGCAATACTTAATTATTAATACAAGCGATGTGTGAACATAGTTTATTGGAAACTGGACGACTGTATTTATTCCTAACACAATAGCTCTTTATATAATATCTCTATATATAATGAATATAAAATATCATGACAATAAATTATATAATATTCTATTATCTCCCCGATTTATCAATGCATTACCAGAATGCTATTTTCGCAATAAATATATTTTAAGTCTATATTTACGCACGATTACGATATGACAGAGTATAGAAACTGATTGAATTAAGCTTTGCCTGTTACTTCCTACGCATGATGCATTTGTAATAATTGTTCCTTCCTAACTGTAATTAACTTCTCCTATGGTTGAACTAATTCACTATTAGCAATATGATATTGTTGCATTTGGCCATC